ACCAGGCCTCCTAGTACTGAATCAAAATACATTTTTGTGCTGCCAGTTTCTGATCCCACAGGCTTCCCTGATTTCTGGGAGAGGAGCTTTTCTGTGTGCCTTTGACTACACAGTCACTACACTTAGCTAGATGTGTCACAGTCACTACACTTAACTACACATCGAGAGCAGTTTCTTCAACACTGTGCAATTTTCTCATACTGCAAATTACATGGAATAGATTGCTATCTTGTGGCCCTTTGCGTAATAATAATAATAATCCTTGCATTTGATACAGCGCCTTATCACGTCTTCGAGACGTTTCAAAGCGCTTCACAGAATATACTGTAAACTGAATTGACTGTATATTTTGTGGGAAAAATGCTTGAATTGGGTGGGCTCAGGCTGGGAACTTGGCTGACATAACCATGGTCGAACAGTCTGCTAATACTCACATTCCTCCACCTCTGGACATTGCCCTATTTCACCACAGGTTTTGAAAATCACTTTGGCAATTAAAAGATTTCTCTAACGCTATCCTAATTGGACTCGCTGGCACCACGCTTCAATAAACTTAACCCCTGCACCCTGAGCTCTGTCCCGCACAAGGTCCCTTGACTCCCAACCTTGCCAAGCACCACTGGCTCCAAAACCTTCCTCAGTTTTTGGAGTCGGTGCTCAGTGTCCACTGCTCCCATTATTAATCGCACTGAGACCTTCTTTCACACAACACATACTGTTTGAATGAATTGTTGATTGAAAGGAATTAATTAAAGCAAAGCTCACAAGGCTAGTAGTGTGCTATAATAGATTTTACTTCTCTGTAAGAAGTTCAGCGCGTTGGCAAAGCCAATGCCAGGAAGGATTGCATTGTACTGATTGGCGTCTTGTGAACTTTGGATATCAATATTGCACAGTTGATGATGATAATAATAAGCCTTGCATTTGATACCATGTCTTATCAAGTTGCCGAGACCTCTCACAGCACTTTACTGCAAAGTCTATCTGTGGACAAACGAAGCAGCCAATTTTCACAAAGTTTATTCGTTCCACCTCTTCTGAAGCTTCCGGTTCAGTGAAGCGCTCTGAGACCTCATCCGGCGTGAAGGGCACTATATAAGTGCAAGTTGTTGTTGTTTTCCTAGGCATTCTCAGTTCCCTGACCCAAATGGCCATCGTCCATAATAATTATAATTATAATCCTCAACAAACAGAGGCGAGAGGAATTTCAGGCTCATAAACATTGAAGTGTCTGTTTGTTGGAAGCTAGTGACGGATGAGACAACTCCAACATAACCCCTCCCACCCAGACCGACAGCTAATGAAATGCAGACACACTGAATGGCTAAAGATACCCTGAATCACTGGGAATTGTGCACATTCTCACCACTGGTCAGTATTCAGAGATACGCATGTTCTCCTGTCTGCCTCCCTCGCTTCCCCTCTATGTCCTGTATAATAGAGGACAGAGGTAGATATTCCAGCCAGGACTGGAAGCCTTGTCCTGACAGGAATGCCAGCATTTTTACGCCTCCAGATTTCCAGGAAGTACTTAATTGAAAACCTAAAAACGCTAAATCATGCTGAAGGCTTGAGAAGCTGCTGTTTGTGTGTGAATCTGGACAGAGAGAGAGAGAGGGAGAGGCTGCTCGCACACGCCCCATTCTCCCACCCCCTCACCGCTGGCTGCCTATTAAGAATTTCAAAGTACTGGTAGCATTTCATCTGCATCTGGTCTGCAACCCTGGGAGAGCTTTGAGAAGCACCTTGAACAGTCAATTCCATCATAATATTCGGGAGATGTGTAACCACTGTTCGGATATTTGGTAAGGTGTCATCTTACGTAGTTCAGTTGGTTAGCAAACTCGCTAGTGGATCTGAAACACAAACAGAAGTGGCTGGGAACACACTCAGCAACAACAACAACAACAAGAAGATTCCATTTATAGAGCGCCTTTCACGTCGGGAGGACGTCCCAAGGCGCTGAGGTCAGGTCGGGCAGCATCTACGGAGAAAGGAAAGTGAGTCAACGTTTCTGGTCCACGACCCTTCATCAGAACTGGATCTGAAAGATGAGTTCAAAGCCTCAATTCGAGACTTGGGCTCAAAGACTAGGCTGACAATCCTGTACAATGTTGGGGGGTGGGATTGAGGGTGGGGGTGTGCTGCATTCATTACACCAAGGCTCCGTCTGCCTGTTTTTCAAGTGGCCATTGAAGATTCCCTTAAGACAATCTGGAAAAAACAAGCGAGTCTGTTATCTGTATCTGTTCTGACCAGTTATCCTCCAGATTAGTCAGAAATGCACCTCATGTTTGTGGGAGTTTGCTCGAGGTAAAACGGTTGCCACATTTGCCTCGACAAATACAGTTGTTACATTTAACAATAATTACCATTAAAGTGGTAAGCTTGGGCAAGTTTCCTTACTCCACATAGAGCCTAATAATAATCCCTCCAAAAACCCAAAACAATAATAAATTGGTCATTTTCAATCCACGACTGTTTGTGGGACATTGCTGTGCGCCATTGGCTGCCGCGTTCGCCCACAAATATACAGTCAATTCACTTTACAGTGTGTTCTGTGAAGCGCTTTGGGACGTCCTCCCGACGTGAAAAGCGCTATATCAAATGCAAGGATTATTATTATTATTATTATTAAGTGCTGTAAGAGTCCAAAGTCTTTCACAATGAAGTCCCAAAATGGGATAATTTGGATCATACTCATCTAATCCACCAGGAGGAGCTAAAGACTGAGGATCCAGTGTTGCTGAATTTGTGAGCAAGTAGACTGGTTACCGTTCTCCTTGCACCAGTGCTGATGACAAATGATGGCAGGGTATTAGATTGCAGGGGCAGGGACATCATTTCCAGCCCCTATCCTGTCCTTGCCTAACATCTACACACACACACACACACACACAGTTTCCAGCAAAGGGTCTCCAGATAGGAATTGGTAGCAGGATCTCTGGCTCATTTCCTCTTCCGAATCCCAGCGGCATTGAGGCCCAATTGTAGCTCCAACTGAGACTGATATTCTGGGATATTCTGTGTCTGTATTGCTGAGTCTCACTCTGGATACAGTAAACCTCACATATGTCGTCGTATATTTAATATGACTTATGCAAAGCATGAGTTATGTCAAACTTGCAGAGAATATAAAGTCTTGAACGGGACTTGGACAGATAATAATAATGATAATTATCCTTGCAATTGATAATAGTGCCTTATCACGTCTTCGAGATATCTCAAAGTGCTTCACAGAATATACTGTAAAGTGAATCGACTATATTTTTTGGGTGAAGCACGGCAGCCAATTGCACACAGCAGTGCCCCACAAACAGTCGTGGATTGAGTGACCAATTTTTTCTTATTATGCACATGCACAACGATGAATAAAGTAATTTGAAGTTTTCGAAATCAGTTGCTATCAATAACCCGGAACCGACAAAACCCCCTCCCCACCCCTCACCCCTCACCCACTTCTTGTGTCCTGAGTCTGGGACTGGACCTTTCACTTCCTGTTTCATTGAAGCCACAAAAGGGGAACTCGCTCTCTGCTTTTCAATCTGCCCTTGTAAACTGTTCTGACAGTCACAGTGTTACTGCGCAGCGCAGAGTGACTGCAGTGTGTATTAAGCAGTGGAGGTAAGGTTAGGTCACTAACCCAAGGTTAGTGGGGGGTTAAGAATTAGCAAGGGTGCAAGGGTTCCTACTCTGTATCTGCCTGGGGATGGGTGCCTGTGCCCCACCCCTGAAAAGTATCCCAAGACATTACACTGCATGGAGGATGTTAAACTGAAGTCCTGACTGTGACTGTTCTTGTGCATGTTAATGATCCTGTGGCACTGCTTGAAAACAGATGGAATTTCTCCCAGTGTTCTGGCCAACAGCCCTCCACATTATGTCATTCCCTTCATGGTTGTTTGAGGAACATCGCTGGGTGCAAATTGGCTGCCACGTTGGCCTGGAAAATACGCAATCACTACACTTTGCACAAAATCCTGTGAAGCCATCCGAGATGCCCTCTCAACGGGAAAGGCGCCGTCTCCGGGGATCATTTTGTTTAAAAAGATCCCGACTCGTTTGCTCTCGCCGTCTCTCTGCTGGCAACACCTGGATTTGAATGCAAAGGACAAGTCCAGACAGACCGCAGCGCCTCCAACCATCCTCGCATCGCTTTTCACGCCCAATGTAAAGTATTCCTCCCTGGGGCTAATTTAGTGGGGTTTAAGAAGATAAGGACTTCCTCGGCAAAAGAGGACCAAGCTCCATTTCGCTCGCCTTCCACTAGCCCGGCAATCGCTTGGCATGAAGTGTCCAAAACTGTACACTGTGTCCCGAGATATTATAATAATAATAATAACAATCCTTGCATTTGATAGAGCGCTTTTCACGTCGGGAGGACGTCCCAAAGCGCTTCGCAAAACACACTGTAAAGTGAATGGACTGTACATTTGTGGGCGAACGCGGCGGCCAACGGCGCACAGCAATGTCCCACAGACAGTCGTGGATTGAAAATGACCAATTTATTATTGGTTTTTTTGGGGAGGGAATATTATTATTTTCCATAAGTGCATAAGAATTTTCCGCGCAACCGGATAGCTTAAGAGGCAGCATTTTAATTTCAGGGAAGGGTCCCTCTTCCTTACTCTTCCCTTTACTTACTCCTATTTGCTCACTGTTGCATCGCTCTCTTTTGTTTTTTATTGATTCATTTTATTGAATTCCTTTTCGATTCGGATCAATGCAGTCGTTTTTTTTGTGGGTTGTGGGGGAGAGGTGGAGAAAAAGAGAAAGAAATGGGGAGAGAGTGAGAGAGAGAGAGAGAGAGAGAGGGAGAGAGAGAGAGCAATAATCCTTTGCAATTCCTTTTCTGTGTGCCTCGGGCTACATGTTCTTCAAACTTCTGGTGAGTTTCAGTCTCCGCCCTGTTTGGGAGTTTGGAATGAGCTCAAAAAAAAACTCGTCACTGCATTTTTTTCTCTCTAATTCTCTCTCTCTCTTTATTGCATCCTCTCACTCTCTCCGCCTCTGTTCACAGCTGCTGTGCCTTCCCCCAGTAATTCGTCTTGTGCAGCTGATCTCTCTCTCTCTCTCTCTCTCTGTGTGTGTGTGTGTGTGACTGTGTGTGTGTGACTGTGTCTGTGCAACACCCCCCGACAATGCAGTGGAGGGGACAGACGATGTGGATGGCGATGTTCCTGGTTTTCCTGCTCAGACCCTCGGAAATTGCCGCCTACTTCTCGGAGGAGCGACAACCCAACGAGTCCTCTCTGCAGAGCCCCACTGTGCTGATCGCCATCGTGGCCAGAAACACGGCTCACACTCTGCCCTATCACCTCGGGGCCATCGAGAGGCTGGACTACCCCAAACACAGGGTCTCCATATGGTACTCAGGGGGGGGGGGGGGGGTGTGTTGTGTGTGTGTGTTGTATGTGTGTGTGTTGTGTGTGTGTATATGTGTGTATGTTGTATGTGTGTGTTGTATGTGTGTGTATGTGTTGTATGTGTGTGTGTTGTATGTGTGTGTGTGTGTTGTATGTGTGTTGTGTGTGTATGTGTGTGTGTGTGTGTTGTATGTGTGTGTATGTGTGTGTGTGTGTGTGTTGTATGTGTGTATGTGTGTGTGTTGTGTGTGTGTATGTGTGTGTGTTGTATGTGTGTATGTGTGTGTGTGTGTTGTATGTGTGTTGTATGTATGTTGTATGTGTGCGTGTGTGTGTGTGTATGTGTGTGTTGTATGTATGTTGTATGTGTGTTGTATGTGTGTGTGTGTGCCTCGCAAATCCCCTGTTTAAAAAGTCACCTCAAACACACATCAAACCATTAATACACTCCACGTAAGTGTGTGTTAAGTCAAAACGCCATCTGACTGCCAATTGCTGCACAAAACATTTCTTTGTCTCCACATATTAACCGACTCTGTTCCCACACAAGAAAGACACGTTCGATGGTGTGTGTATGTTGGTTGTTTTTTTTTGGGGGGGGGTGGGAGGGGGGGGAGAGAGGTGTGGGTGTTGTTTGTGTGTTGTTTGTTGTTGTTTAGGGGAGAGGGAAATATGCTTTACATTTGCAGATGTGGCAGCCACAGACCATGTAAGCACTGAGTTCCTGTGAGACTCTGGAGTTATCAGTACATGTTACACACCCAGTCAGCCCTGGGGTCCCATTCCTGCACAAAGGGAACAGAATCCACAGGAATTCTCCCTCTCTCCTCCCTCCCTAAGTTTTTTCTTGCTTTGAGAGTTTTCTCCCCCCTGATTTAACTGTTTCCTCATCTCCTTAGGCGTCTGACACTCACCCCCCCACACACACACACACACACAGCACTGAGGGTAGTTCCTTCTTGGCCATTATTCTTGTGTGAGCCTTAATACTGAATGAGCAGCAGATTGAACCTTGTTCGGAAGGAGGTGGCGGAGTTGTGGGGAGTGTTGAAGAGGCTACATTGGTGGCGATTCAAGGTCCTCACCCTCAGCTATAAATCCTTTCATGTCCACGTCCCTCCCGATCTCCTGCCTCACTCGATTGCTTGCCCTAGCCGCTTGGCTAATTTAATAATAAGAATAATAATACTCCTTGCATTTGATGAAGCACCTTTTCACGTCACCGAGACGTCTCAAAGTGTTTCACAAGGTATACTGTCAAGTGGGGTGACTGTGTATTTTGTGGGCAAAATGTGACTGCCTGTCCCCCGCTCTCTTCACACCACCTTCAGTGACTGAACCTTCATCTGCTAAGCCCACCCCCCCCACCGCTGGAACTCCCTCCTCCTCCCCCTCTGCCTCAGACATTTTATGCAGTAGCCAATTACACACACTGCGCAGCCTTTAGGTGTGTGACCAGTTGCTCTGGTGATTATTGGGGTTGAATTCATTCCCATTTTTAGCCTATGTTCATCAGTAATGTGGGTTAAGCTGTTTCATCTTGTCATCGCAAGCTCTGGGTCTGGATCAGGTGAGGGAACGTGCTGAAATCTGCTGGCTTTACCCTGGAGGGGGCTGTGAATAATAATACAGAACATACTGTAAAGTGAATTGATTGTACTTTTTCTGGGCAAAACGTGGCAGTCAATTGCGTACAGCAGCGTCCCACAAACAGTTGTGAATTGAAGTGACCAATTTATTTTTATTATTATTAACGTCTGGCTTTCCCCAGGGCAGTGACTGATCACAACATTGACAACACCACCGCCATCCTGAGAGAATGGCTGACGAATGTGCAGAAACTCTACCACAATGTCGAGTGGCGCCCGATGGACAAACCAGAGTAAGTGTCCGTATCGCCCCCCCCCATCCTTTCCTTCCCTCACCCCCCGAATTCCCTCTTCAGAAGCAAGTTCCTCGGCTCCTCTGATGTCCCAGAGGTAAGGACATCGCACAGGGCAGCACTGAGCCACACGGACCACAATGTCAGTGCCCAGTCTGTGTTGAGCTATTTGAAGTCAACTTGGCTTTGTGTCAGGGAGGGGAAAGATCAGAAGGGGAAAGAGAGATCCTGTTATCATGAGGGTGTGGAAGTGCTCTGGGACACTACCCATGTGGGGGGTGCTATATAAATGCAAGTTATTGTTGACTAAGGATGGCTTAGCTGCGTCGTAGGATCTTCAACCTGTGCCTTGCTTTAACACCTCATTGTAAAGCACAGCAATTCTGACTCTGCAGCACTCCTCCAGTGCTGCACTAAAGGGTCGGTTGAGACTACAAGCTCCCACAACGAGAACGATGAGGAGCTTTGCACATCTGCAGATCACTTTCTCTTGCTGGCAGTTTTCCAGCCTCTAACTCAGAACCACAAGGAAACATTAAACTCTGAATGGAAATCCCCTGTAGCGAAAAGAGATGGGGGGGGAGGGGGGCTGCTTGGAATAATCTACCAGGAATACCTTTTCCATAAAAACTCTTCTTTCCTGACTGGCCACACGTCTGGAGGATGAATGCTGGCTCTGAAATTCTGAAGAGCTCAATTTACCAAGGGCACAGATGTGCTTGATTCATAACTTGCACAATGAAATTAGCAACCAATGAAGTGTATTAAATTCTAATGACAGTTTAATTTGGTGCAAGTGTGGAGTTCATATCTCTCTGTTAAAGCCACCCCATTCCTGTCCCCAACTGAAGACCTGACTCGAGTCAGCAAACTCCATATTCTAGAAAATATCATCTTGTCTGTGTGTATTGTAGAAACAAACTGTGCATCATAGTTGGAGCCTGGAAATGTGTTTGTGTTTCCAGAATGCTGGAACCTATGTGTGTGTGCGTGTACATGTCTGTGTGTCAGAGCAATGGGACACGTGTATTTGCGTGTGGTGTTTTGGGTAGGTTGAGAACAGGTCAGAACATTAGCACGATTGACCATTGACTGTGTCCAATCCTTGATCGCACCTTCCATCTTGGCCCACGTAAGTGAGGTGCTGTTTAACTCCAGTTGTTGCTGCTTGTGTGTAACTCTTGTCCTCGTGCACTGCCCAAACAGGTCCTATCCCAACGAATTGGGCCCCAAACACTGGACTCACGAGAGGTATGAATACGTGATGAAACTGAAGCAAGCTGCCCTCAAAACTGCCAGAAAGCAATGGGCTGATTACATCATGGTGAGTAGAACTGGCCAAAGTCTTCTTTAAAGTCAGTCTAGACTACATGAATTTAAAGCCATGGGGCTTGAGCCTACAACCATTTGACTCAGAAATGAATGTGTTATCAACTGAGCTAGCCTGACACACAACAAAATATCCATTCTGAAAGCAGTTTGACCCACAGGGGTAAAAAGCTACTGTTCTCTTTAAGGTTTTAGAACCCGCACTTCCTATTTGAAATATGTCTCCTTATTTTCTAGTACGTCGACACAGATAACATTCTCAGCAATGACCAGACACTGAAGCTCATGATCGCTGAGAACAAAACTGTTGTAGCTCCGATGCTGGAATCACAGACAGCTTATTCCAATTTCTGGTGTGGGATCACACCCCAGGTGAGGTCCCTCAGGTTTAACACAAGCTCATTTGTGTTTTGATCACAAGATAGGCTGTTTGGCCCATTTGTTCTCCTCCTTCGAGAATTCCCACCTTACTGTCCTACCAGTGACTCCAGTTCCCTGTTGTTGCTGGCTGCCCAGTCCCCCCCGAGGGGAGGCAAAAAAAGCAGTGAAAACCTCATGATCATTTGGGGGAAATCCTTTCTGGAGCTTTGCAATTAGAGTGTGAGCGAGCTCCAAGAGAGGCCAAGCCACTAGCAACTGGAGAGCCTATCTAATGGGCTTGATAGCAGTTGCAGAATGGTGCAGGTCTGCAGTTGCTGAGAGATTCATCTGGAGTCTTGAACGTGCGGGTGCTGTTTGCCTCCCTGGGCGTAACTAATGGATGTGATGTCACCTTGTTTTGTTTTTGCGAAGGGCTATTACCGCAGGACGGCAGAATATTTCCCAACTCGAAACCGTTACCGTTTGGGCTGCTTTCCCGTCCCCATGGTGCACTCTACCTTCCTGATCGACCTTCGGAAAGAGTCATCGCAGGGGCTGGCCTTTTTCCCCCCGCACCCGGACTACTCCTGGCCCTTCGACGATATCATCGTGTTTGCCTTCTCCTGTCGAGCTTCAGGTAAGGGGGCGGAGGATGCGTGTGATTAGGAAAAAAATAGGTTTAAAGGAGTATGTTCGAAAGGACAACTCATTGGGTGTCAAGTGAAATGTCAGGTACCATTAAAGTGAAAGCTTGCCTTCAATGCAGGATTTAAGTTGTATCACAAATTGTCTGGGTGCCTAGAAGACTTGCGGGTCGCTAAACTATCTTTTTGAGGAACATTCTTCATTGAAGTTTCATTTTTGTCTCAGGGAAGCTTCCTTTTCTCACCCCACCCTCTGCTCAACCATCCTGGATTCTGATTCCACAGAGCTCCCTCACAATAACCCAATTTCCATCTCACGCAACAGTCAATAACAACAACTTGCATTTATATAGTGCTCCTCACGCAGGGTAAAGTCCCAGAGCGCTGGACAGTGACGGAGCATGACACTGAGCCGGGGAGGAAGGTTAATGGAATTATTTAATTCACACACGCAAAAATCTTCAGAAAAGATACCCAGATAGCGATTATTCTGGGTACACCGCCTCATTTTTCCCTACCCCTCCTTCACCCAGGAAGCGCTGAAGCCAATTGCAACTCCCTCACAACCCATTTGGTAGACATGATCAGATGTGAGATCCCCCTGTGCATATGTCTCAGTGCACTGAGCTGTGCATGTACTAAGCCTCTCTCCCTAACAGTCCCCATGCCTTTTCTCTATTCACAGATGCTCAGATATACATGTGCAATAAAGAACGTTATGGCTTTGTCAACGTGCCAGCCAAACCACAACACACGCTGGAAGATGACAGTCTGAACTTCATTCATCTGATGCTGGATGCCCTGAGTAAGTGAAGTCATCAATGCGCAGAGATCTCTGCGTAATGGATACCATGGATCTCACACTTGATAGGGGTGGAAGGTGGTGAGGGTGGAAAATGGCTAAGATCGAATATCATAGGTTTGAGCTTTATGAAGATGAACAAACTTGGACGGTCCGATACTCTGGGGTTCTTGTCTTAACGGGATCAATGGCCTGTCGTATGGGAGAGAAGTGGCTAACACCAGAGAATAACGTCAATTGCAAAGCTAGATTGAGGTCTTAATCGTTACGGAGGGATTCCTAGCAATGCTCTGAGGCCTCGTCTTGACAGGATCAAACCATTAAACCTCCGTGTGGGTATGTCTGGGTTTGTAGGCTGTATTCTGCTGGCTGCCTGTGGGTCAGCAATGAATACAGACCGGGGTGTCAGCAACAAACTGAGTCCATTTTCAGCACAATAATTTAATGCAGTAAGAGGGTAATTTCCGCTTTTTAAAGCACAACTAGACATTTACTGCTGTGTTGTAGTGTTTCTTGTGTTTTAGTGACTCATTTGTACTGCCAACTCAGCATTGCTCTGAACTGAGAATAAAGGGAGGGGTCACTTCAGTATTAATAATCACAATTCTTGCATTTAACATAATATTTCACGACATTGCCAAAATGCCTCAAAGCGCTTTGCAGGATTCAACCAGACTTTAACCATTTTGTATTTGTAGGCAACGGCTGTAGCCAGTTTGCTCATCAAAGTGCCACAAACAGCCACAAAGTGAATGATCATTTTCTGTGCTGAAAACATCTGTGAAGATGTCAGGAGGAGTCTGTGTTTCTGTTCTTAAAAAAAATCAATGATAATGTATATGAATATGATTGATGAATGTACGTACAAAGGTGACCAAAAAGTCGTGAAATCATTACAATGTCTAATGAGTCTTAAAGAAACGAGGCGAGAGCGCTAACCACTATGCTATGAGACTCCACTGGCAGTGTTTAGGGTGGACTCAGAGTGTAATATATAGAGGCGTTCAGGAATATATTCCATTCCCCAACACTGACGTTGCTTACTTTGAAAACCGCAGGTGTTCTGCACAGCCCAGCAGTAATAGTGGATATTCTGAGATTTCTTGTTTGCTTCCACGCTAACAGCCGTGTTTTGTCTTCATACTCACAGTTGATGGGCCACCCATGATGCCGTCCCAGTTTGTCCATCTCCCACCAAAACATCCGGATAAAATGAGATTCGATGAGGTAAATAAGGAACAGCTGTCATTTAGTTGGATTTTCAGGATAGCTGGAGTCTTGAACAGGAGAGTCGAACCTGACATGAACGCTGATATAAGATGATTGTGCATGAGACAGAGGAGAAAGTGTGCAGGACTTTTCACTTTTAGGACCTGGATTTAAATCCAGACCAATGCATTGAAAGTCTTTGTCCGTTAATTGTAAGGGTCTTATGTGCGATTGTTTTGGGGGCAATGTTAGCCCAGCTCCCAGTGACAAACCCAGTCCTTGTTCAGATGAACGTTTAAGATCCTGTGGCACTATTCAAAAAGACAAGGAAGTTGCTCCCTTTGTCTTGGCCAACAATCCTCTGGAATGATTGATCATTAACCTTACGTGGAGTCCTGTAGCACAGTGGTTAGAGCCCTCGCCTTGCGAGCAAGAAAACCTGTGTTTTCCCAGAAAATTCCCGGGCAGGGTGAAACCTTAGGTAAGTTTTCTTACTCCACATGCCTCTGTTTACCTAGCAGTAAGTCGGAACCCAGTTGATTGGCGGATCGCTTTCTGGGGGTAATGATCCCTTCAATTTAGTTACTCATTCCATGACTGTGGGACGCTGCTGTGTGCAATTGGCTGCCAAGTTTTGCCCACAAAATATCCAGTCAATTCACTTTACAGTATATTCTGTGAAGTGCTTTGGCACATCTCGAAGATGTAATAATTCGCTACGTCAAATGCAAGGATTATTCTATGGCTGTTTATGGTTGTTAGTTGGCCCGTTGCTGAATCTGTGACTGAGCTGTGTTACCGCGTATATTAGTGGCAGCCTCACTGATGTCCCGCTCTTGTTTTGTGGCAGATTTTTCTGATAAACCTCCGTCGTCGGCCCGAAAGGAGGGAACGAATGCTTCAATCGCTGTATGAGCAGGAGATTGACTGCAAACTGGTGGATGCAGTGGACGGCAGGTGAATCAGGAAGTTTAGTTCTATTGTATCCTGAACCCTCTGTAACCATATTGGCTGCTGCTTTAAACGAAAAGTACACAGCCGCGATAACTCACACTACGGGAACTGATGTGTTTTGAGACTTTCTTGATGTTATAGGTGCTGAATCAAAAGTAAGTGTTATTATGGGTTGAATGGCCTCTTCCTCTTTTGCTGAGAATGCCTGTTTCTCTGAATGACGCATTCCTGCTAGTCTCAGTGTCTGCAGCTTTATCTCTGAATAAATCACATCTTCGTGATTGCATCAACATTCCCCGAGGAGGTCAGGTTTGCTCTTGTTTATGGGCAGATCTGGATCTGTTCATGTAAATGTGGCCTCAATTCTTTTGCAAATTGAGATGTACCTCGGGGGGGTAAAAATGAGCTAAACGAGGCTGAATATAGGAGACTTCAGAAAAATCAGCAGCAGTAACGCGTGTGATCTTTGACTTTGTGTGGGAGAGATGGTTGTTACTACCTCTTCAATTGAACAGGCTCTTCTGAAGCCTGATGAGAGGATACACTGGGAAACTCTATACCTTTTTTAATTGGGACCGATGCATTGTAGATATGGGGTGTATCTCTTTCTCTGTGCATTTGTGCCTCTCTCTGCCTCTCTCTCTCTCTCTCTCTCTATGTCTCATCCACTTTCTGTGCAGCTGTCTATGTGTCTCACTCTCTTTCAGCCTCTCTGCCTTGGTATGCGTGACTCTCTCACTCAGTTTGCCCTTACCTCGATAGGGTTAAGAGTGAGATGAACAGTTAGAGAAAGCTCAGTGTAGGTGCAGAGGAAGAGAAATGTTAATTTTCTACCCCCTCGTGGAAGAAGAGACCTGACCCCCCCACCCCCACCCCATCGATACCATTCTTAACTGGAGAACTTCGGTCAGTCGCCCCCTCCCCTCGGGAAGATGTCCATCTATTGCAAGGTGCTTTTGCGGCTGTGGTCCAGATGTGATTGGGAATTTGGGTCAGAAGGGATGACTCTCACCATTCTAAAGCGGAGCATGTCCTCTCTTAGACAAAATTGCAACCAATCCTCCCATATTTTCTTGCCAACCAGACAACTGGAAACATTGAATACAGATTGGAATGTGGGGTGGAGACAGTCAGTGCCTCACAAAACCGAGCTTCAACTTTGGATGCTCATTTCAGTGTTGTATACAAATGTCATTTTGTTGTTGTTGTTATATCGTTACGTATTTTTCTTAAATGAGCTTTGGGTCCTGACTTCAACCACACTTTCTGGCAATCTTTTCTAGTTGTTGGTTACTCTCTGTGGCAGGTAACGTTTCTCTTAAAATTGCTGTTCGTGACCCTGAATTGATTGTTCTCTCTCTCTCTCTCTCTCTCTACAGTGCTCTGAACAGCAGTACATTAAAAGCCATGGGTATTGACATGCTCCCAGGATACAATGACCCATTCTCCCACAGGACCCTAACCAAGGGGGAGGTGGGCTGTTTCCTCAGTCACTACAACATCTGGAAAGAGGTATGCAGCACACCATTTTATGGCTTTCAATGTATTGGTGCCTGTGTTATCATTTTGCATTTGGAGCATCCGAAAGGGAATCTTGTGCAAAATAGGAGTCCTCCTCGTCTCGTCACATCTGAATGTATCGTTCACCCTGCAAGCCAAAGCCCTAACAGCTAGGGTGGTCCTAGCTGGACAAGTAGCTGGGAATTCTTGGCAGACAGCAATACCAATGGCAAGCTATGCGGTTTTAGCTGGTTAGACTCCAGCAGTTACCCCAACACACACTCTAGGGTCTAACCTACGCCTAATACTTTCCGGAATTAGGTAAGCAGGCTGCATCCCTCCAGGGAGGGAGAGAGAGAGAGAGCCCATTCCATTCCAACAATCTATCTCTGGGATTTCCAGGTGTAGGTGGAATGCATGGAAATCTTAGCTTGATTTGGATATTCTTAAGCACGGTGGTGGGTTTCCGCTTGTGCCAGACACCCAGCCGACCAAAAATAAAAAAAATTGTTCACTGAAGAAAAGTTGAAAATGATGGGAGCATTATTTTGGTTGAGCTGAGAAGATAACAAGGTTTTAATGTGGTCGCAGATTGTGGATCGGAAGCTGAACAATATTCTAGTATTTGAAGACGATGTCAGGTTCGAGGCTTATTTCAAAAGGAAGCTGTTGAAGTTGATGGCAGATATTCGGGCAGCCGGTTTGAAATGGGACCTTATGTGAGTAAATGTTTCGATCCGCAATGCTGTGTTTTTCTGCCTTTTCTTTCCAGCTCTGAAGTTATTTTTTTCAATATGTCGGCAGTGGAGTGTAGCATTAAGGAGTGTAGTGAGAAGCATATTTTATCAGTAGTTATTGGAGCCACTGCGTTAGCCTCCCACGGAAAGTGGAAACTGGTCCATATCAACATTGCAGCTTGCAGTCAGTACCCTTCAACCTGAATTATGTTGTGAGAGGGGGAAGGAATAATGAACTGCAAACGACTGTATCTCCTGCGCTCTCTGCTTCTGCTGTTCATCATCCTGTGCTGATATTACGACTCATCCGGGACATAAAGGAGGCCGAGAGAATTCCAGACAAATGAGGTCAAGGGAATGTATAGACCCGGTGTCAACTTCATTAGATGGAATTAGGTAACTTTCACAGTTCCATCACATCTTCATACTCTGCCAATAGTCTGTGTATGTCTGTCTGTCTCTCTCACACTGTTTCCATCTGTATTGCCTTTGTCTCCTATTTCTCTATTTTTGCCAATAAAAACACACAGTAACTACACTTTGCAGTATATGCTGTGAAGCGCTTTGAGAAGTCCTCCTGATGTGAAAGTCACTATATCAGATGTAAGGATAATGATCATATTTTTACCTGTTTTTTTTTCATTTTGTTTGTCTCTCTTTTTCTCCTCTCAGTCTCTCTTTGTACGTTTGTCTATGGTCTGTATAACCACATCTACATATCAAACACTCATTAAAAAAATTGCCACTGGAAGAGTTGGAGGTGGGGGGGGTGTAGAGAGAGAGAAAATTGGTAGGAAAGAAACAACAACTTGCAGTTATATAGCGCCCTTCACGTGGGGCAGCGTCCGGGAGTGTTCAGCAGTGGTGAGGACTGACCCCGAGCCAGGGGGAGGAAGGAGGTGACGTTAGCGTGGTTGAAGAGGAAGATCTTCAGTCGTAATCTAAGAGAGGGTGAATGGAATGCAAAATATGTAACTTTTGCCTGCATTGCAGCTACCTCGGTCGAAAACTAGTGAACCCCAACCAAGAGACATCTGTGAATAACGTCAAGAACCTGGTGGTCGCTGACTATTCCTACTGGACTCTGGCCTACGCCATGTCACTGCAGGGTGCGAGGAAACTGATCAATGCGCAGCCATTGACCAAAATCCTGCCCGTGGACGAGTTCCTTCCCATCATGTATAACAAACACCCCAAGTGAGTCTACCTTTATTCGTTGTGAACATACTAACTCTCAATACCATTGTGCCCTCACTCCCAAAATGGCCAACCATTGCCATTTAGTCAAGTGAGATGCATGGAATTCTCAGTTTGGTTTGGATACTCTTAAGCACGGTGATGGGTTTCCGCATCTGTTAGACACCCAGCTCCAAATTGTGGAGTCCTGCAGCTCAGTGGTTAAAGCACTAACCTCGCAAGTGAAATGTTGGGCAAGTTTCCTTATTCCACACCCTTCTGTTTACCTGCCAGTGAGTAGGAACCCTGTTGTTAGTCGATTGGCGGTTTGCTTTTCCAGGGGTAATAATTCTTTCAAATAATAATAATAATAAATTGGTCACTTCAATCCACGACTGTTTGTCGGACACTACTGTGTCCAAATGGCTGCCGTGTTTCCCCCACAAAATGTACAGTATATTCTGTGAAGCGCTTTGAGGTGTCTCAAAGATCTGATAAGGTGCTATATCAAATGCAAGGATTATTATCAATAACCTGGTGACACTCATTATCGTGGCTGATGTCTAGGTTTGGCCACTTAAGTGAGGTATCGGGTGGTGTCTGTGGAATTGTATCTCAGGAGACAGAAGGAAGGAGTCGAGAGTTGAAAGCTTTTAGGAGGAAGAGAGTAATTGTTATGAAATGATTTGCCTCTGGGTTTTCAGACACGGTCCAGTAACTGTTCCACACATAATGTCCATATGAAGCGGTTTATGTTCAATCTGTGGGTTGTAAAATAAGAGCGTAGAAAGCAAGGGCAATATGTACATGGAAAGGAATTTGGACCAACCGCCAGTTGTTACTACTGATAAAACCCCAAAATGTCTGGAAATTTTTTGTCAGTGATGACTAATGCAATAAATCATAGCCAGCGTTTAAATTACAGGAGTTCATCCAGGAACAGAAGAGAACAATGTTTATTTCCTCTCAAGATAAACAAGTTCTCCTTCCTTCTTTCTCTCTCCCCCCCACCAGCCCCTCTTTTACCCCACTGCCCTCAAAAAAAAATCCCTCTGTTTATCTGCCTGGTTGTGAGTGTTGCAATCAGCCCAGGATCTAAGTTCTGTGAGTAGTCAGTACCTTAGAGGGTGTTTCTGGCTGCTTCCTTAACTTGTGTGGGACACAGTTATTGGTCGGCTCTTACAGTGATCTCTTGCTCTCCTGAGAGTTTTCTTTATCAGACATTCCGCTTCACATAACTCGGGAGAGTCTCTGGACTTCCAGTCTACACAACAGTTGCTTTCAGCTTACTGTTTCCATATTTGTCTTCAACAGAAAGCTTTTCTTCCTTTCGACATTTTTCTCTCCTCCAATTTTCTCTCATCTTCCCCTCCTCCTATTCCTCCTCTCCTTCAGATATTAGACTCTTTTTTTTTCTTTCTATTGCAGTACAGTCCCATGGGATGCCAAGTTCCCTCCAGGTCCAAATCCTAGAGGGCAATTGGCACCCCATGGAATATCTCAAAGCGCTTCACATTTGCAGTCCATTGCAATGTCTGTCTGTGGGACAATGCTGTGTGCAAATTGGCTACTGCCTTTGCCTACAAACAATCAGTCACTGCATTTGACAGTGTTTACCCGGGAAGCACTTTGAGACATTCTTGATATTACAGGTCCAACGTTAAAGGCAAGGATTGTTAATTATACACCATGACAGCGGGACAAAAGGGGGTCCAGGTTCAGGATTGCAAGGGGTATATTTATGATAGACACCAGGAAGTATGCATCAATTCATGAAGAATCCAGTGCGCAGGTGCCCAGGGAAAGGGTTAAAAAGTTGTACGTTTTTGGCTGAGGTGCAGGATCTTCCTTGCAAACATTGAAAATCAAAGAGTTAAACTGATGAGAAACATGTGTCGTTCGAATGATTCATCCAGATGCATATGGGAAGAAATCTCAGTCATCTGTCCATGTTTTAGCTTGCCGTCAGTTGCAGCTCTCGCCTTCACCTTGAGCCAACACAAACATTGCTGAGCGAAAGAACAGCAAACCCCTGCGCTCATGGTAATAAAGAGTGTGGCCCTGTGAGGTGCTGCTCGATGACATCCCACTGGAGTGAAATTTCCTCTCAAATGTTGTGTGAATCTGAACTGGCAGCAAATACAATAATCTCCAAACTGATGCAGATTTTTGTCTGGTAGTGTGATCATATTTTCTTTGCAAATGATTTTTTTTTTTTTTTTTTTTTGCGCGGCGTTGGAACTGTTCTTATCCAGTCGCAGCTGCTCTGTGAAACATTCCCCCGGGTTTCCAAATGTTCCGCGTTCGAGTGGGCGGCTGTGTGTATAGAGCAGGAGACGAGGTGATCAAAAGGTCAAAGTAAAGATGATTTTCTTCAGTCTCATCCCAGCTGTAACGGGCCTGGTTGTATATAGTATTATATACAGTACACTTATATAGTCGTTACTATATAAATGGATCCCTTTCCACTCACTTTCACACACAAAATGCACAGTCAATTCACTTTACAATATATTCTGTGAAGCGCTTTGAGATGTCTCGAAGGTGTGATAAGGGGCTATATCAAATGCAAGGATTATTTTATCATCATTAATACTGTCCCTTCTTGCACTTAGGTTAGATACACCAGAGAGTAAAGGTCCTTCTTCAATATCTCACCCAGCATACTCTGGGCAAGTTAAGCACATGATAAGTGCAGAGTAAAGCTCTGCCTACATTTCCCACTGTCAGGGTGCAATAAGAATCAGATGGAGAGAAAGCTTCCTCTGTACTGTACTATCCCATCCAGCAGAGAAGGTCAGGGGGATGTTCCAACGGAGGTTGTCAAAATTATGAATAATGGTGAAAGCCTATTTTCACTGACGAGCGAGTCAGTGATCACCAGAAGATGCAAATGGAAGGTTAGAGAAAGAATTTTTATTTATATGAGGTTGTTAGAGTGGGGAATGTTTCCGGCACAAATGGATACCTTTGGTCACCTTCCCCCCTCCCCCGGCTCGGTCCCGGGATCCATTACTGTAAAGCGCTCTGAGACGCCGTCCGGCGTGGAGGGTGCTATATAAACCCAACTTGTTGTTGTTGTTGATGCTTTTTTTTAAAAAAAAAAAGGGAAATAAACGGTGTTTATTTTTCTTCTTTTCCAGTAAGGAATATAAGAAGATTTACTCCAAACGAGATCTGAAAGCTTTCTCGGTGCGCCCTCTGCTGGTGTTTCCCACTCATTACACCGGGGACCCCGAGTGGTTCAGCGACACCGAGACCTCCACCATCTGGGACGACGACTCGATGAAGACGGCTTCGGGAAGTTCTCAAAAAAATGTCAAGGCCCAACAAGCCACCCACGAGTCCATTCGCTCTGCTTCGAGGGAGGACTTGTAGCCGACAGTAAGTGAGTTGAGAACCTCCGTGTGGCATTCCGCAGTCAAAATACACAGTCAGTTGCATTGCAAGTAGTTCCATCCTTCAGATGAGTGGTTAAGCCGAGGTTCCCTCTGCCTGTTAAGGGGGGCAACAAAGATGCCATGAAACTATCCGAAAACAGAAGTGAGTTTCTCCCAGGGTCCTGGCTAACAATCCTCCAGATAAATTCTGTTGTCTGTTGACCTTGACTTGAAGATGAACAAAAGCTAAATCTTTTATTTGTTTTTGTGTTTCAGTTTTCCGAAAGGGAAATTTTCTGTTCCAAGACGAAAGATACAAATGGAAGGTATCGTGATAAACCTCAACTGAAGATTGGTCTGGTAGCAATTTTTTTTTATGTACTTCAGTCAATGCTCCTCTGTCAGATGTGGTCCAGTTGAACCTGAAGCGTTGAAACCGGGACAAATAGCAAATATGCAAAAGTCCATTACATTACTGAGTGCTGCTTTTCCATTGTGAGGACGGTGAAATGTGGGGAATGCCATCCAACACTGGACATTTTGGAAAGGATGGCTTTTCAATAGTGCTCGAATGAGGAATATACCAATGAACTACAGACAAAATGCAACCAAATAAGATGTTTTTCAATAAAAGGGGAAAAGTAGTATTGCTGCAGCTTTGTTCTTTGACCTCAGATAAATTTTAGCCTTGCAGGTTCCAGTGGTGCCCTTAGGTTGACTTTACTTCCTCCACCCTGCGTAAAATCTTTCCCTTCCTCACAACTCTAGTATCATAGCAAATAGGGATAATAAGACCTCTGTAGGGATGTTTCACTTTTGCGGTGGAACTCTGGTTGGAAAAGGTAAAATGATCTTGAGGAAGAGGAGAGGATACGAGCTAAGAACAAGAGAGAGAAAGAGAGAGAATAGTGTGACAATAAGAGTTTGGAACAAGAAACACAGAGCCTGAGATTAAAAAAAAGGGGGGGAAAAAAGGAAACGTGTATTTTCATCCATTGTGTCCCGTAAAAATGTCTCAAAGTGCTTTACAGTAATTATTGTCAAGTGTAGTAACCATTTTGTGCACAGCAAAGTCTCAAAGTCTAAAGTCAGTATATCCTTAACCTCTGGAACTCATTGCCTACATCCCTCCACCTTGCCCGCTCTCTACCTGCCTTTAAATCCTACCTTTAAACCTATCTCTTCGACCGCACTTATGGTCACCTCCCCCTTCACCCTTGCTTGGTGTCCAGCTGCTGTGAAATGCTTCGAGATGTTATCCTATGCGAAGAGTGCGGTCTGAATGCAAGTGGTTGTTTTTGCGTCGGAACAGAAAAAGATCTGATTTGGGTCCAAAAAGTGCTGTAAAAATGCAAGTTCTTTAATTTGTTTACCAAAGATGATTATTTGCTCATCCGGCCATGAGGAGCACTTTGAACGAAGGCCGCCCCCCCCCCCCCTCGTCCTTCCTTCCCCTGTTCAAAGATCTTGCTCTTTTAAACATTGTAATGGAATTGTGGTGTACTTACACTATTGGAGAGCAAGTATCCTGCAAGTCAAAGCCCTAATGGGGTGGTCCTCGCTGGACAAACAGAGGGAAAGCTTGCCCAACCTCGACATCATTGGCAAGCTGTGCCGTTTTAGTTGGTAATCCAGCAGTTTCCTAACGCGCATTCTGGTGTCCCCAAGCCTCGGCTCTTCCCAACCTGCGCCTAATACTTTGGGGAATTAGGTAAGCAGGATACATGTGTGTGTGTGTGTATGTGTGTGTGTCCCAGGGAGAGAATGCGTATTCTAAAAATCTATCTATCTCTAGGATTTCCATGTGTACATGGGATGGTTTGGGTACTCTTAAGCGGGTGATGGGTTTCTGCCTGCGTCAGACACCCAGCTGACCAAAAAGAAAGGCAATAAATCTCAGGAAATGTCAGACTATCATGGGAAGCGTTTAATTGTGAATATGTGTTCTGTATTGTTACACTTTCTGTTTTTTTTTTCCCCCCGAACTCTCATTGTTCAGCTGGTCTGAAATAAATATAAGTTAAATGTTCTCCTGGAGCTTTTCTTCTTTGCGGTCCTTTGATGGACAAGAATATTTTGTTTTTGTTTCCCCGCTCGTCTTAAAGTGCTGCGGCCGTCGTTCCACTATCTCGCACGTAAGTGGCTGTTATTCTCATGCGAGTCCAGACGACGAGCGATGGCGAGGATTAATTCAGGAGGTGAGTTGAACGTGATAATATTTGCTTTATAATCTCCAGCACTGACAGTAATGCCGTGTCTATCTCTCTCGCTCTTGTGTCCGTCTCCCTCTAATCTTAAATTAACTTTTTTTTAAAAAAAAATAAAAATGTGGTCACTCACTCAATCCACGGCTGTTTGCGGGACGCTGCTGCGCGCAACTGGCCGCTGCTTTGCGCCCACAGAATTCACAGTCGCTACACTTGACATTATATTCTGTGAAGCGCTTTGAGACGTCTCGAAGATGTGATAAGGGGCCTATATCAAATGCAAGGAATAATAATAATAATAATAATCCTCGATAGAGCGCTTTTCACGTCTTCTCGACGTCTCAAAGCCCTTCACAGAATAGACTGTAAAGTGAATTGACATTATATTTGTGGGCGAAACGCGGCGGCCGATTGCGCACAACAGTGTCCCACAAACAAACAGCCGTGGATTGAAAACGATCAATTTATTATGGTTTTGTTTCGGAGGGGATTGTTATTAGGGGCTGTGTGCGTGGAGTCAGGAAACCTGCCCCGAGGTCCCCCCCCCCCCCCCCTCCCGTATATGATACGATATATAATAATAATGCAGGGATGGCAGACAGATGTGCGTTGCGTAGATCTGCTGTGTTTTGCCGGTCACTACACTGTGGCCCCCGGTCACTACAGTGCCCCCCGGACATGGTTACACTGTGGCCCCGGCCACTACACTGTGGCCCCCGGTCACTACAGTGCCCCCCGGACATGGTTACACTGTGGCCCCGGTCACTACACTGTGGCCCTGGTCACTACAGTGTCCCCGGACATGGTTACACTGTGGCCCCGGTCACTCCACTGTGGCCCCGGTCACTCCACTGTGGCCCCGGTCACTCCACTGTGGCCCCGGTCACTCCACTGTGGCCCCGGTCACTCCACTGCGGCCCCGGTCACTCCACTGCGGCCCCGGACACGGTTGCGCTTCACGTCTCTTCAAAGGGCTTCGCGGCGCGTACCGTGAAGTGTAGTGACTGTGGACTTCGTTCGCTCAGCTTCGCTGGTAACTGAGCGAGAGCCCCTCCCACCCTCTCTCAGCCACACCCCTCCCCTGTCAGGCCACACCCCCTCCCCCCCACTCCCCCCCCCCTCCCCTCTTGTTGCTATGTACGTGACGCGGAGGGGGGGGAAGCCCTTAGCGACAGGACCGGGCGGTGGGGGCAGAGCTGTGGGAGCGGCACAGGGACCCACATGGCCCCCAAGAAGAAGAAAGACCGCGCCGCCCCCCCCGGGGACACGGAGGCCAAGAAGTCAGAGCCGCTCTCAGAGTTGGACAAAGAGTTCTATCTGATTCAGATCCGGGACCAGGAGAGCAGAGTGGCCAAGTAATCCCCAGTCACTACACTGCGGCCCCGGGCACTACACTGCCCCCCCCCCCCCCCCCCCCCCCCCCCCCCGGTCACTACACTGCCCCCCCCCCCCCCCGGTCACTACACTGCCCCCCCCCCCCCCGGTCACTACACTGCCCCCCCCCCCCCAGTCACTACACTGCCCCCCCCCCCAGTCACTACACTGCGGCCCCGGTCACTACACTGCCCCCCCCCCCCCAGTCACTACACTGCCCCCCACCCCCAGTCACTACACTGCGGCCCCGGTCACTACACTGCCCCCCCCCCCCCCCCACCGGTCACTACACTGAGCAGAGTGGCCAAGTAATCCCCAGTCACTACACTGCCCCCCCCCCCAGTCACTACACTGCGGCCCCGGGCACTACACTGCCCCCCCCCCCCCTCCCCCCGGTCACTACACTGTCCCCCCCCCCCCAGTCACTACACTGCGGCCCTGGACATGGTTACAATGCTCTCCCGTTACTACACTATCGCCGCACCCACCAACGGCGACACTGTTGCAATGTTGTTGCACTGATGTAACGTGTCCCCCTGTGTCACCCCCCAACACCCCCACACCCCCACCACCCCCACACCCTCCCCCAACACCCCCCCAACACCCCCACACCCCCACCACCCCCACACCCGCCCCACACCCCTACCCCCCTCCCAACACCCCCACCCCCCCACCACCCCCACACCCCCCACCCCCACCCCCTCCAACTCCCCCCACACCCTCCCCACCTCCCCCAACACCCCCCCACACCCCCTCCAACTCCCCCCACACCCTCCCCACCTCCCCCAACACCCCCCCACACCCCCTCCAACTCCCCCCACACCCTCCCCACCTCCCCCAACACCCCCCCCCCACCCCCTCCAACTCCCCCACACCCTCCCCACCTCCCCCAACACCCCCCCCACCCCCCCCCCCCAACACCCCCCACCAATGGAGTATTATTGTACACCTAAATAAATACGAAGCAGTAATATTCCACTCACACACACATAAGTTTACAAACTTACAAGTTATATGTTGATAAATATATTTATACATATGTTTGTAAACACTTATAAGCAGATTTATATACTTGTAAACTTATAGACAGATAAACGCTTGTGGATGAATGATTGACTCATTTAAGAGGACTCCGACACCCTCTGAGGGATAGGGAGGTGCAGTCATACAAATAATTAAAGGGGGAGATTGGGGGGGAAAGGGGGTAATGTGGACTTCTCTGATACAAGCAAACCATAGGTGAAGTCGTCCATATCTTTCTAACAAGACAATATGATGGGGTGTTTGAAATAGAGAGAGACTTAAGGGTAAGGGGAGCGTGTGGAAGATTGGGATACCATTAGCTTAGAGTTCACCAGAGGCTGTAACTTGGACCTGACCCTTGAGGTCTTGCTCCATTCACAAAATAATTTGACCGAAAATAAACCGAGCCGCTGTGATTTGTGTGCCAAGGTACCAGCGGCGACTGGACGAGCTGGAAGTACAGAAAAATGAATCGGAGGACAGTCTCACGCGCTTATCCAAGGAAATGGAGGACATCATCTCCTTCCTGAAGAAATGCCTGGATCAGAGGGCAGACGAGATCGCTGACCTGAACGACAAACTGGTGGCCCTGGATCAGGCCAAGGAAGTGGAGAAGGACGCCTATGAGACCCAGCTGTCCCATTTACGTCACGAGTGTCAGGATGCCAAGGATCAGCTCACGACAGAGAATATCGCTCTAGGTGCAGGAAATTGGGATAATTCTTTGCGATTAAATTTCCATTCTTGCGTTCCCTCTGGCGATTGGGTTGATAAAGGCTTGACATTACATTACAATAGCTCATCACAGTTTACATAGAAACTACAGCACATTGCATTTATATAGTGCCTTTCACGTCGGGAGGACATCCCAAGGCACTGGATGCACTAAACAGAGGAAATGGCAGCATTGTGTGCTATCCAGCCCTGTGATTAAGTCTGTACCGATACTTCTCTCCTCTGTGTTAAACAGCGGGAAAGCTGGCTGCAGTGGAGGAATTCCGACTCCAGAAAGAGCAATTAATGGCCAACTTTGCGACCCTTGAAGAAGAACTTAAAAAGATGGACCACGATCACAAAGGAACCATTTACGATCTGGAGAGGAGAGCGGTGATCGACAAAGACAGGTAAAGTAACACTTAAAACAAAATCACGCTTGCTGCCTCTACAGGCAGCTGTACGCTCATGTATGTGTGCGCGTACATTGGTGTGCACATGCGTGCTCACTTGCACCTGTATGCCTGATACTTTTGTATATGCGATGCATGTCTTCTGTGCATCTGTGTGCGTGTGTGTGGGGGGGTGGTATGCATGTGCATGACTCCTTTACACTCATTATCCCTACAGGTTAAAGAAGGAAATGATCTCGCGGCTTAACACGGTGGCGACTGAGTTCCGCAGAGTTTCAAAAACACAGATGTCTCAGACAACCAAGAGGACCATCCGGGAGAACGTGTCCATCAGCATCCAGCTGGGAAAAATGTCGGACAAAAGCCTACAGCTGATCAAGCAGAACGACGAAATGAGGAAAGCCACCATGACCCAGTGGACACATCTTCACATAATGGAGGAAAATGAGCGAAAGCTCATTAAAAAGAACAGCAGCAATAGAAAGGTGGCAATTGTTTCCCATTTTCTCTCCTCTATTGTGGATGCTCTCCCACAAAATTCATTAGCACTCAAGAGGCCATTCACAGAATGTATCAGTAGGATGTTCACTCAGAGGCTATCAGAAGAGCATCGAATAAATCTCAATATGTTTCCCTCTTTGGTCCTTTCTTGGGGTCCATCTCCCAGCAGAGGGTGGGGCACGGGGGAGGAGGTGTGATCTCCAGATAATGAACAAGAACTTTGTCCCATTTTTTTCTCTGCTTAACCTTCCCTCTCTATAATTCTAATAATCCTTGCATTTGATATTATGCTTTTTCATTTCACTGAGACGTCTCAAAGCGCTTCATAAAATATACTGTAAAAGTGAACTGACTGTATGTTTTGTGGGCGAAACAGGGCAGCCAATTGCACACAGCAATGTACTGCAAACAAACATGGATTGCATGAGTACATTTCTATTTAATAATGTATTTCCTAATCTGGGCACTGAGGACAATTATAGTCCCAACTGTGATCGGCTAACCCAGCACAGAGCAGGTTTAGGTATTCAGTCTGACGCAGTTGGAAGCATCGAGTCTGAAGGTTGTTGGACCATATTTTGCTAACCGAGAAAAAAAAATGTTCACAGGATTGAGTAAGAAAGTACAGTTGCATTATTGTGTGTGCGTCCGCTTTGCACTTCAATTGGAGTGAACTGTTTCTTGCTTGGTAGATTATCTCCATGCTGACTGAGAAATGTAAAGAGCAGCAGGTGTTACTAAATAAATACAAAACGGAGGAGGAGGAATACCAAAAACAAAAAATAATGGTCAAAGAACTTCAGGAGCAGAACGAGTCTCTCAGGTAGGTGAGTCACCAGCAAACCAACCCAACCCATCACTGTACCCATCCAGCAACATACCCCATCACTGTACCCAGTCACCACCCATCCTTGGGAATCCCTGTACCTGTGCCCTCCGTTCCACCATTGGTGGTCATGCTTTTGGCCACTATGCTCCAAAACTCTGGAACACTCTCCCACTATCTCACCATCTCGCCCCTTCCTTTCCCATCTTCAGATTGTGACTGAAAACCTTCTTCTTCGACCGTGCCTACGGTCAACTCCACCCAGTTTGGCATTGTGCTCTGTCACTTTAAAATGCTCTGTGACACTACACTGCGTGAGGTGTGCTGTGTAAATGCATGTTGTTGTTGTTATTGTACCTGGCCTGTAAGATAAGCCATCCAGCAACCTAGCCCTGGGTTCCAATTTTCTCCCCTACTTGTTGCACATATGCTCAGGGAGCATCGAATAAATCTCAATATGTTTCCCTTCTAGCATAGCGTTGAGTTATGTTGACGAAGAGCTGAAGAAAACTCAATTGGACCTCAAGAATAAGCTGACGCTTCTGGCGGAGGAGAGTGAGCGCCGGAAAAGGGTGGAAGAGGTCCTGTCCGATGCGGCATATGCACTAAAGGACATCCTGCTGGTAAGATTACAATTCAGATTCACAACTGGTAGCCACATGGCAGCCGTGCAATACAAGGAGCATTTATATAGCGCTTTTCGGATCTCAAAGTTCTTTACCACCCGAGCCAGGGTGTGTCTGTCTGTGTGTGTGTGTGTGGGGGGGGGCGGCAGGGAAGCTGACCCAGGCATGAGGACTTTGTGTGTGTGTGTGATTTGAAAACCTAGGAAGACGAATAGACCATTTAGGCTGTTGAGCTGTCTCTTCCATTTTGTTAGTCCAAGGCAGCCCTTTACATTGTTAGGAGGCTGCCTTGTTGCTGCAATGGGAAGATTATATCCCGCAAAGATGAAATCAAATGGGCTGAAGAGCCTTCCTAGTCCAAACTAATTCCTAAATCTTTCTAATCCCATTTTCTCTGTCTTTTCTCCATTTATACCTTCAATTCCCAAGCGTCTATCTGTCTCCATCTTTTTTAAAAAAAGCTCAGTCAATTCTGTGTCTCCTGAAAAGTGATCCGCCAATTGACTTAACAACCGGGTTCCTATTTACTGCTGGGTAAACAGAAGCGTGTGGAGCAAGGAAACTTGTCCAATGTTGTGCATGCCCACAATTACCACAGCGTCCTGAGCAGCCCACAATTCACATCATGTGAAAGCATAAGTGCAACTCTCCAGTTGCTTCTGTGAGTGTTTTTTCAGCCCTTCCCCCCTCCCTCCCCGCCCCCTCTCTCCTTCCCGTCTTCTTCTCGTGTTGGGACCGACCTGTTTCACATCTGCTTGCTGAGCGGAGCTCTCGCCAGGTTGTAGTGCTGTGCTCCTGGGATCAAATCCAAAACTTGCAGAAAATCAATCGCAGCTGTTTGGAAGTGTCTTGGTTTAGATTTTCCAACCTTTATTATATAAACTTCTGGAGCTGGTGGGAGTGCTGCCTGATTTTTCCCTCCCTGCACTCAATGTACACTCCACTGGGACAGCCCTTTACCCTGCAACGTTTTGACCCTTGAGATTGTCCACTTGAATTATAGGACTGGCTTTGCTTGTGGCTGTGAGCAGACAGACCCTCTGGATGGTGTTATTAACAAAAAAACCTCCTAGATAGTACTTCCTACAACTCTGGGTATGCATTTAAAAAAAATTCAAAACAAAAGGTTTATTTCAGGCACTCTTTCATGAAAACTATTGTGCTGCGTACATGCTATATAATAATAATGATAATCCTTGCATCTGATTTAATGCTTTATCGGGTCATTGAGAGGTCTCAAAGAGCTTCACAGAATTTACTGTGCAGTGAATCGACTGTATATTTTGAGGGCAAAACGTTGGCAACTGGACAGAGCAGAAATCTCCATCATACGTCGTCATAATAATAATAATCCTTGCATTTGATATGCAACTGTATCACATCTTCAAGACTTCTCCAAGCACTTCACAGAATTCACTGTGAAGTGAATTGACTCTGCATTTTGTGGGTGAAACACGGCAGCCAATTGCGCACAACCTCTAGATTTACATCTTGTCATTTATGAGCTGGAGAGTAAAACGTGTCCTGACCATCAGTCCTGCTGATTGTGGCTGCCCATGGAATGGAACCTTACTGTGTGTAAAATACTGCTTCATTTGCCTACAAAACAGTCGAAGCATTTGGCAATAATTACTGTGCAGCATTCTGAGATTGCTTCACAGTAATTATAGCCAATCAATACAGCTGGGTTCAGTATTTTCCCTGCCTAACCCAGAAACACAGCTCGATTGTAGCACAGACTGCTTCCCATTCTGTGCTAACTCAGTACAGATTTGGATTTGGACCTATAAACTTCTTCTGGTCTGGAAAGCCTAGTGCTGCTCCTATCACCACTTATGGAATTGTACCTCCAGTAGTTGTTGGGTGTCTACAAAATTGACGTAGAATTTTGATCGTAGAAGTCATTTATTTGATAGGAGTTCCACACGTGAGACTTTTAAAAGAGGTTGAAGCTCTTTGAAAAGAGTAAGAAATTAAAGATCCGATAAACATCTTATACAGTGCAAGTTATTTTTTCCTTTGATTTACCAACTTTCGATCAAACAACTGAGCTCATAAAAGAAAGTCTTATTAATGCCATCTAGCAGCAGAGCTCAGGACTGCATGCAGACCTGAAAGGCAAACTTTTTACTGTTACATCTCTGGGGTCTGAAATGAAGAAATCACAAAGGGATTTGTGAGGTTCATGATTGCTGATTTAAGATTGCTCATTGACTTCATGGCTTTCTGTGGGTCATTGCATTTCGCCACCAAGTTTAATTTCCTGCTCTCTTTCTAGCTCACTGTTCACAGTCATTATACTTTGCGGTAAACCCTGTGAAGAGTTTTTGAGACGTATCGACAAATACAAAGATTATATTATTATAAATAACACTGGAGGCAGGTGGGGGGTGGAAGCATTTATGCTTGGAGTACTGAGATTACTTTCCTGCATATTGGAAAACTGATCATATTTCCTTAACGGGCTTGGCTTTAACCACAAGTGTCCCGGTGCCTCCACCATGCTTTCCCTCCCAGCCAATGGCCTGACTTTAAGATCTATTGCACTGCCTTTTCCTGCAGAGTGATGATGAACTCCCAGAGACTAGAAAACTACCCAGTGCCATCATAGAGGAGCCCATTGATGCAATAGAGCAGCCCACCACGATCACAGAGCAGCCCACCACGATCACAGAGCAGCCCGTCACTGACACTGTCATCGACACCACCGCTGACACCACCACTGAAACCCCTACGGATGGCCCGGTTACAGAGAAGTCCGACTCCAAAACGTCGGTCCATGTCCAGCGAAGTCAAATGATGCACAAGCTCCTGCTGGTCCTCAACACGGCGGCTTGCATCGGGCTGGGTCCACCCCTCGGGGAGTTCACCAAACAGGAAAAGGCTTCAGTGATGAACAAACTGGAGAACATTTCAAAAAGGTACACTGTGCGTGGAGCTGAGCGAGTGACATGCCCCTCAGATCCCAGTTCCTGCTCTACAGTCCCAAGTACCAAGATCATTTTAGCTTCTGAGCATATGTCAGACCTTGGCACAAGTTGCCAACACGGGACCTTATGTAACTATTGTTCCTCTCCCTTCATCTTTCCACAGATCTGTTCAAATCTGTCAAGACATCAGAGGACCAGGGATTCAGCCTCACTATAGACAAGGAGACCTGGGCTTGGTGCCACGGGCAAAGCATCTGATGCCCAATATCTACGACAAGGTGGGATTCCTGTCAAGGACGACACGCCTGGGTTTGATCAGAACACTTCCAAAACTAAACTGCAGCATGTACAAGGTAAGTTCCCCCATGTGAGAGCCCGAACAGGCAGACAGGAGCTTGGTGTTAACATCTCATCCAAAGTACCATCCACAATGGGCATTATTCTTAAAACAGGAGATAGTTTCTTGGTCTCCAACAATCCTCCAGGTAAACTGGTCTTTACTAATTGGTGACATTCATTGCTATTTATGGGATCCTACTGGTGCAAATGGCTCCTATGTTTACCTACAAAATCAATCCCTACTCTTGACAGTACTTACTTGTGAATGGGATTTGACTTGTGCACAATAGAAAGTTCTTCATGTATCTTCCAGCAGTTGGCCTCAGAGCTATGCTGCAAACGACGATCCTTCACGAGAATACAAAGGGAGTAAAATCCCGCTGTTAATGCTAAGTGCTAGACATGTACATACATTTATCTCTTTCTTCTCTCTGTTATCTCCAGGGTTCACAGGTTTCAGAGCAGGGAGGAAAATTACTGTCGCTCAAGCCTGCATAGCTGCAGAATGCTCAGAATTAGTGTGTGTTGTATTGGAATGGTGAAATCTTCCCTTTTAAACAATAAAGAGATTGAAATTCCACATATGTGCACGAGGATTCAATTATTATCTCGGAGAGAAATGGTAACTGATCACAAATCACTCTTACATTGTGATGGCTCGTAGCAGTGCCAAGCCACCAGTGCATCCAGTTCCACTTTCATTACTTTAATTTCATTAAAATATAAATAAATGTATTTGAAATATTTTTCTTTCAAAAGCGTAGTCACTGCACTTGTAAGATGCTTTGACATTGCAGCTTGATGAGGCACTATAAAAATGGGAGTTATTTATTTCTGTTATGTTCAAATCTTTTCAATTCAATCCATTTTAATCCAGGATTTTTAGCACATTGGGCCAAATTGTTTTTTCTCAGTGAATATTGCCTGACGTATCTAAGAAGAGTTTTTTGACAAGATTACCGAGCGAACAGATGAAGGTAATGCTACGAATGTGGTACATAAACATTTTCAGAAGGCTTTTGATAAGGTGCCAACGTAAACAACAACAACAAATTACATTTGTGTAGCGCCTTTCACGTTGGGAGGATGTCCCAAATGCTGGTTTGATGTTTAAAGACGTTGGTTTGAGAGGTTTGGGAATTGAGTTTGAGCTGTCTCGACCGCTGACCTATTTTTGATACAGCCACTGGATTGGAGGGGGAAAAAAAGCATTCCATTCACTCAAGGTGTTCCTTGCCAGATCCCCCTACAAAGGAATCTTTTTTACTAAAATCTGTAGAGTTAACAGTTAGTCCTTTAAGGACTTGAAAACTCAACAAGTTCAATTTGATTTATTTCAATTCCATAAGACGAACTGCCTTTTTACCCATGTTTTCTCAGCAGAAAATCACAACGTGGTTATTTAAGTGCTAATTGGAAGTTTCATAGCCATCCAGAGAGGTCTGTCGGGGAAAGGGAGGTTGCATGAGGAGAAAAGGCGAGCGATTTCTAAGCGTCGCTCAAAGATATAAGATTAAAACTGAGATTAGATGGGCCAAAGAGTCATCTTCATTGAATCTGATTTTGTGGATTATTTTGTCACAAAGAAACAAGAAAATTACTATTTTGAAACTGTTTTATGATCATTTTTCCCCTCTTTACATGATACAAAAAGGTAACAAAGACAACAGATTGCACTGGACAAAATGACCCACAAACAGCAACTTAAATACCAGTGTCTGCCACAAGTCAATATATTAAATCATATTCCACAGTAATTTACAATACTACTCAACAGGTCTGTACACAATAATAAATAGTGCCCAAAATTATGTATAACAAGACTTTCAATTTTTTTTTACAAAAACAAAATAAAAAAAAAGCTTATTTGGAACAAGCCATAGAAACAATTTCAACACAATTTTGTTCGCAGCCAAAGAATGGCCGAATATCGTACTGTACATTAACAACAGCCCAGCACACCTGCTATTAATAAGGACTGATTGTGTGAGAACTCTTAATATGTAGTGACGTTTCAAATGTGTTTTGGCCATCATTGTGCAGTCACTGTGTTCTGCTAGTTGATAATGTCTTTTTGAGTCTTTGGTTCAATTGCACTGTGGATATTAGCGATTTCAGGAAAAGGTCTTGCTCGTCCAAAAAAATGATGATAATTCAAATCCAACCAGCTTCAAATCAGTTTCTGATACGTTGAGGCCTCTTCATAACAGGAAAAGATGAAGGCCCTTTGGAGAGTCATCCACAACTCGCGAAGCTCGGCTCTGAGATATATCAGACCGGTTTTGCTCAAAGAGTGGAGCTCCAGATCAAAAATGTCTTTTGCTTTTACCACTCCAGAATACCATAGGTCATTTGTGTTTCTGTGCGTCCCTCAGTCAACAGTTGAATTGGCTACTGACCAAAGGCTTCTATCCTCGAAGGACCAAAGGTGAGGCAAAGCCAGCTCGGATCACGAGATCAAGTTTAGGATTGCCATTGGCACTGCGAAATCAAGAGGGGGCAATCTACCGTTTCCTTTTTCTGTGAAGGTCAAAGCTTTCTTCACTGTTTGTTTTCATGATGAATTGCAAGTCTTCCCAACCATTATTTCTAACGATTACTCCTTCCAGCACACAGATGAAGGAACAATGCAATCCTTTAATATTCGCACTCTTCAACCGGCCTAGTCCCCGTTCATCCTGTTCCATTTCGAGAGCAAAAAGAGCACATTGGTTGCTCTCACTCTCTCTAACATTGTGACGAAGCAGTCCAATTGTCTTATGGAGTGCTTCCTTCTCATCCCGCAAATCCAGCCCTGGGCTATTGCCCTGCAGTCTTTCAAACAGAATCGACTGTAAGTGCCATTGAACGCTCCTTCTAGTACTCTCAGCTGCAGATGATATTGCACGTTTATTTCAAATACTGTTTGTTTTGAAAGTTTAGGTTAGTTAATCCAGCCACTGTAAGGAGAATGTCCATCTCGTGGAATTAGAAGATACTTTTAGTGATCTTCAGTCCCTTTGGTTTCATTCTGGGAAGAGTGGAGCTTGAAATATGCTTGCTCTTGCCTGGCTTTGCGTGCCCTCTTTTCTTCAGCATGAAGTCATAGTTGACCGAGGAGTTCATAGCATAGAATACATTTGCGTTATCGGGAATCTTCAGTTCTGCAAGAGCAAAGAAAGAAAATAAAGTCAAACCTTTTATCTTCTCTCCACTTTTGGTGCAAGCAGAATGGAACAGTTTAATCAGTGATAAACTGGAAGAAGGGAGGGAAAAGTGAAGTAAAATAAATCACTGGAAAAAAAACCTTCATCATTTACTAAACAAAATCGGGGATTGGAAACAAAATATTGTTTCTATTCCTGACACCAAGCACCCTCTTCTTGGCAATCCTTCCACACTGTAATTCTCAATCAAATAGCCTTGGATATACTTTATTTACTTTGCTCGTTTCTTGCTGAATCCACATCAACACATCGCCATAGTGATCAATGAATACAACAACAACAACTTGGATTTATATAGCGCCCTCCACGCTGGGCGGCATCTCAGAGCGCTTTACAGTAACGGATAATACAGGGCTTAAAAGTGGAGGGGAAGGGAGAGAATCAACTTATAATAATAATCCTTGCATTTGATATAGCACTTTTCACGTCTTCTAGACGTCTCAAAGCGCCTCACAGAATATACTGTACTTACTCTAAAGGAGACAGGTCTGTCTAACCCACACTTCTCTACAGTTATCCAAGTGACTGAACAACCCATCTGGCTCATCAATAAGTCTTGGGCGTCTTCAACCCTGTGAGCCAAGCCCTAAGAATTTCATCCCACCAATCTGGGCTGTCTTTGAACACATGTCCCAGAAATAACAGGGCATGAGTGCACCACATGCTGTTCCATGGCTCCAGACTTTCAGCACCTGTACGTACCTTTGTCTTCAGCAACTATCTGCATCAGCTCATACTCCTCAGGCCTCTCCCCATCCAGATTGTGCTTTGCCATGGCCTTCCGAATGACAACAGGCGTTTTATCCTGACTGGTTACCTGCAAGTGAAACAACATTTTAACCCCCAAAGTAGCAGAGACCCATTTTAATTCATCTTATTCCTAAACAATAATGTACAGAAATTGCTTTATATATAAAGAATCTACAGCACGGAAACAGGTAATTCAGCCCAATCGGTCCATGCCGTTCTTTATTCATTCACTCCTAACTCCCATAACCTTCTTTTCCCCTCTCCTCATGTGTCAGTCTAACTTTCTCTTAAATGCATCAATACTATCTGACTCAACCACAAACTCACTACCCTCTAAGCAAAATAGTCCTCTTAAATTGTATTTTAGATATTATAATGTATATCATACACATATATGGAAAAATATGGTTTTGTATGCAATATTCTGTACTTCAATTAGCTACCTGGGTCAGAAGGTTGTGGGTTCAAGATTCACTTTGTGATTTGGACTCACAGTTTAGGCTGATTCAATAATGGGAGTAATCAGAAGTGCTGTCCTTTTGAAGAGACATTTAGCTGTGACTGACCAACCCGTCTGGCTCACCAATAAGTCTTGGGATTTGTAGGTTTGTCTTCAACCCTGTGAGCCGTGAGTGTTCCTCACATGGACATGAAAGTTCTCATGATATTATTTGAAAAGAGAAGGGAGTTTCTCCAAGTGTCCTGACCGGCAATCCTTCAAATGAATTGGTTGGCCATTTTGTACATTGTGACAAGACTACATCTCATCCACTCCATCCCTTGGGGAAGAAGTTCTGTAGATATTCTCTTATCCCCAAGGGAATTGGAGAATCTCAAACTCAAGAACATGGATCCATCTCCGTGGTCAACCCTGGTTTCCTTCCCCCTCCTCCCCAAACATATTCGCAACCTCAAGTTGGGGGTTGGGATATATAATAATCATAATAATAATCCTTGCATTTGACATAGTGCTTTTCATGTCTTCGAGATGTTTCAAAGCGCTTCACAGAATATACTGTAAAGTGAATTGACTGTATATTTTGTGGGATCAGGAGGGAGTATAGGGCAGGGTTGATAGGGGTAGGGTGGTGACCGAAGGCACAGTCAAAGAGCAGTGTCTTGAGACAAGCCTTTGTAGGAGACAAGGGAGGGTAAAAATGCTTACAACAACAACTTGCATTTATATAGTGCCCTTCATACCGGGTAGCATCCCGGAGTGCTTAACAGCGGTGGAGTCTGACCCTGAGCCAAAAGGAGTGGGGAGGTGACCGTAAGCACGATCAAAAAGGAAGGTCTTTAGGCAGGATTGGAAAGTGAGGAGGGAGGGGGCGAGGCAGAGGGATTCGGGCAGAGAGCTCCAGAGCTTCGGGGCGTAATGATTGAAAGCTTACCAAAATGCTCTTGTACATGTTGCCGTTGTCCACGTCCAGACTGACTCGAATGATGCAGCAGTCATCCACCTGCTGGTTATAAAGTGGTAGAGAGAGTGTGGAGTAGCTGGATATTCCAGACACCGAGCGCTTGTGCGTCCGGGAGGACGTTATGGGTGTGGAGGAGACTGAGGAAGAGGAGGCACTGCTTGACCCTGAGCCGATTCCAGACGTGTCCAGTGAGGACTGGGACGTCGATTCCCAGAACTAAAAGCGAAAATAAAACGAGGTTTATAACAAACAGGGACAGAACTGGTACAGAAGTCTCCCAGTCCGACCCACTTTTGGGGGAGTGGTAGCTGCCGGTGCAAGCCCAGCACTGGTTACCACTTAAAACAAAGAAAAGGTTTGTGCAAAACTAGGGAACGGAGTTGAGTTTGACAGAAGTCAGGTCACGACTGCAGGGGTTTTACAGTGAACATCTCTCTCTCTCTCTCTCTCTACCTGTGACTCCTACGTTGCCAGTGTGCGCGTGCGTACCAGTATCCGTCACATCTGAACAGTGCCATCCGATCAAGCTTCCAATCAACCCGACGCCATTCACAGCGCCAGAGAAATTACAACACAAAAGGCAGCAATTTGGCCCATCAAGTTCGTCAGTTATCTATTTTAAATCGCGAGCCCCCTGCTCTCTCCCCGTATCTTTTTATATTGTTTATCGTGATTCAACGCAGAAAACTGCTCCAACATGCCATAATCACAAACTCTGGAAACTAGCTCCCCCTCGTGTACACAATATAATATGTCAGCTCCTCTCAGAAGCCATCTTGTGAACATATTCGTGGGAGTGGGCACAAAACTGTCCCAAATGTGGGTCTAATAATTGACTTAAGATCCCCCGCACACCCCACTCACAGATTCATTTCACACAGCGCCCTTTTGACTCCTAGAATCACGTATTGCTTTACCTATTGTGTGTTGGTTGTGGGTTCAAGCCACTTGTTGGGACTTTGAACTGACATGCAGCGCTGGGGTGAGGTGCATTGTTGGATGTGTCACCCTTTGGATCAGAAGTCCTGTCTGCCTGTTCAGGTGGACGTAAAAGATCCCACAATACCATTTGAAAAGAGAAGGGAGTTTCTCCTGGTTGCTCTGGCCAATATAGGTCATTGGTTGTTTGTGGGACACTGCTGTGTGGAAATTGGCTGCTGGGCTGGCCTACAAAATCACTGCACTAATCGTATATCCTGTGAAGGGCTTCGAGAAGTCCTCCTGACACGAGAGCGCTGTATAATTGGGGCCGCGCTGAGCCAGCCTGGTGTCCTACCTTTTTCTCTTGGGAATCTGGTGACTCAGAGATGAAGCTGATGTTGATTTCCTCAACGTCGGAGTTGCTCGAGCCGGCGGACGTGACGCTGACTGAATCCGCCCCGTCTCCCCCGCCCAGGTACGGACCGTACTTGAGCTGCTCACAGGATCGGGACTGGGCTCCAGTGCTCGGGGAATCTGCAGTCGGAGCTTGCCTGCTGTAATAGGCCAACAGCAAAACAAAGAGTTAATAATCCCAAATCATCCGAAACTCAAGAGAGAGTTTTGAAGTGAGCAACGACTGACTGTACATGGGGCAATCCATGCAAGTGCCTGCAAACACACAGTCACTGCTTATCCCTGAAAACCTTGCGAAGCACTTTGAGAGGTTTGCTGTTCCAGGTGCAATGAAATACACGGTCAATTCACTTTACACTATATCCTGTGAAGCGCTTTGAGACGTCTCAGTGACGTAATAAGGCGCTATATCAAATGCAAGGATTATTATTATTATTATCACTATGTAAAATGCGAGGAATATTATTATTTCAGGGACGCACCTCTAGTTATATTTCGGTTATTTTATTCTGACCCAGATCAGCACATGCTAACACCACAGCCTGAAGATTGTCTTTTGCTGCTCTTCACAGATCAATTCCAGACTTGCCGATAGATTCTCTCTGCCCCCCCCCACCCCCCCACCCACACAGCCCCGGACAGGCACACAAAACTCACATCAATACAGCACGAGAATGAACAGGACAAGGATTGCACTCACTCGCTCCAGCGTTTAATGATGCCTGCATTTTTCTTTGCCTTCAAGGTGTTGCTCGCTGACTCTGCCAGAGGCTCGATTTCACAAGACTGATTGTAGCTGTCAGAATAAAATGCAGAGTTGAGGCTACAGTTCAGCGCTGTCTTACCTGGAAACACTATTAAAATCATCCAGAAAGCCAATTACCCTTAATGTCTAATGGTAAACAATGAATTGGAAAGAGCCCAGAAAATAGGAACCTTTCGCAACTCTGGGTATTGCACCACAGAGACTGTAAATGACTTGAATGTCACAGCCAAGACTGATCTGGTCCTTGACCAACATTCTCATGTGATTACTTTCCATCTGGGGGTGATGGGGTGGGGGGGAGGGGGCGGAGGGAGCGAGGGGTGTCAATGGTAAGCAATTGGGAGAGGGAACCCCAGGTGATTTTTTTGCCTTCCCTAATACGGTAGGCTCCGAGGTCAATTGTAGCCCCCTCGCCCCACCCCTCCGCCCGGTCCAGTCCACTCCACACATTCCAAACTCAACGGCTTCTTACCTTTCAGCTTCGCTCAGCCGCTCCACGCTTCGAAACCACTCTAGAAAGCGATGGTCTTGCGTGAAGGAATAGTTATTGCAGGCCGACTGCAGCAGCTTGATCTGGGCAATGACTTCAAACTCCTGTCAATGAAGCAGTTGGAAAACCCATTGAAACCTCCGTAGCATATCGCCGAACTGAAACTCAAACAGGCCATTTGGCCCGACTAGTCCAAACCTCCACTCCTTCCCATTCTGCTATCCTATACCCGCCATTCCCCTTCTCCCTCACATATACATCAAATTCCTTCTTAAATATTCTTTTGATGCTTTCTGCTTAAACCACAGCTTCTGGCAGTGAGTTCCATATTCTCACTACCCTCTGCATAAAGAACTTCCTCCCTTGTAGAGATACAACACCATATACATTTAGTGTCTTTCAAGTTGGGGGGATGTCTCATAGTGCTTTCCAGCATTGTTATGGGCACTGAGGTGTTGGGAGTAAGGAGTACAGGTCTCCCTCCTACTTCCTCACTGAGATCACAGCTCACTGTGCAAATAGACAAGGGTGTGAATACACAACAACAACAACTTGCATTTATATAGCACCCATCATTCAGGGTAGCATCCCAGAGTGCTTGACAATGGCCGAGCATAATGCCGAGTTGGGGAGAGGTGGCCATAGACACTGTCAAAAGAGGAAGCTCTTTAGGCGTGACCTAAAGATGGGGAAAGGCGGAGGGATAGAGGGAGAGTGTTCCAGAGTTTCAGGGCTAAACACAAAAACAAAATAAACACAAAAAAAATAAACACAATATATGTTGGAGCACAACTGCGATGTGCCGAGAGAATACTAATTCCTACTCAGGTTCGGTTTGGACAAGGCGCAAGACAACAAGGTATGAAAACATTCCTCACCTTCCTCCTTTTCTCAAAGTTGATCAAGCCTCCCTGTGAATTAAAAATCCACAGAAATTAGCAAAAATACAATGGACCAAATTATTTAAATACATCTGTTCCAGGGGATGATCTGTCAGTAAGGCATAGGATTTTCATACTTCCCATTTCAGAGTAAAATAATAAACTGCAAAAATAAATTTTAAAAAATTTAAATGTTAAATTGCTGCTTTTTCAAACTAGGTCTAAAAAAAATTGTCGCTGATAAATAGGATTTCTGTTCCCACCCTGGATATTCCCCATTTCAGCTTGCAAGCCAGAAATTCTTGGGTGAACATGGATGGCCCTTTAAGAACACAGCTCCCAACTGCTTGCAGCCCAATGCCTCACTTAATACAATAATGTCTACCATAGAAATCTGCATTGCAATATTCTCTTAACAGCAACCATGGTAATTAGTTCTGCAGAATAACAGCCCTCCGAGTCATGTTTCATCAAACCCATTAATACTTCTGATCCAGAAGAATATTCGATTTGCTTACTTACGTCCAAATGATCCTTCACTGCTGTATCCAACATAACCAGGTCGGTGAGGAACGTGCCCAGATAGGGGATTGTACCCTGCATAACACCCTACAAAAGCACAACAGACCATTACGTACGGATCCGAGTCACTCAGCTCCAACAATGCGCAATTGGCTGCCGCATTTTGCGCACAGAACACAACAGTCCATTCACTTTACAGACGTGATAAGGCGTCGTATCCACTGCGAGAATTATTATTATTATTATCTGCATTGCCACGCTCTCTGTCCAGCACTTACCAGCTCTTTCTGCTGCTGCTGTCGTTTCTGGGCTCTCTTTGGGTTGATATCAAGAGTGGCAAACTTTGACGTCCCTTCCTGGAGTTGGCAAGAGTGGGGGGAGAAGAAAGGGAGAGAGAGCGAGAGAGAGAGTTTAGGAAAAGGATCCATACAGTGCTATCACAAACCCGTTCTCTAACAAGGTTCTGTTGCAGAAAACCATGTCCTCTAGGTGGTGCCATGTGCACAATCTGCGACATTTCCTTTGGGGTGGAAAAGACAACAGGACTGAAGATACATTGGTGTATCCCTGGTAACCGAGCCATCGGGGTAAATATTTGCAGGGGTGACGTGTTGCTGGCTCACAAGCAAAGCGTTATCCTCTGTCGCATCTGGAGGTATGCACATTCCGTTTCAGACATATTTTTTCAATTACGTGTTAAACTTGTTGGAACATTTTTTTTGAATATTGTTAACGTTTTCTAACTGCGATAAACAGTCTCGAAGCCATGCCGAGGATCTCGCCGGCATAACTAAATTATTTTAGCGTATAAAAATGATGTAAGTAAACTTACACACACTCGGGTCTAACTTTGCGATATTTGTTTACTTCCCCCAAAAATTAACCGCCATTTCACACAGGACTGTAATTACTGTGAAGCACTTTGAGGCATTTTGACATTACAGTCAAGTTATTTCAGTCTAGAATGTCAGAAACCAGATCCAATTAAAACAGAGAGAGAGGGTAAAATAGAATATATATATATATATCTACATAATTTTTTAATTTGGATTATTTGGGAATCAGAACCCACAACTAAAATGAAAAAAAATTTTTTTTTGTGCAGTGCATACAGATGTTTGAGATGTTAAGAGCAGAGAGGATTTCCCTTTCCTTTCCCCACTCCATTTTATCTGCTTGAGGAATGCCTGCAGTTGACGTCTATGAGTCACACCTTAGTCAGCTCTGTACAGAGGGAGTTCCTTTTCTCCTTATCAGAGCTGCCAGAGGGAGCTTTTTCAATCCTGCTAGCTGCTGAGAGATTCCAGTGACTAACGTATAGGGGTTAGCCTGGTGCAAAATAATTTGCTTACTACACTTAATGCTGATAAACATTTGCAGCAATAGGCAATTCATACTTAATCCCCGTCCTAATCTGCCCCACCATAGGCGGGTAGGTTTTCCCAACACTCTGCCCCTGTACATTGGAACTCTATCCCGGAGCCCCTCCGACTCACTCCCTCCTTCATTCTCAAGGAACATCTCAAAACACGCCTCTCCCATCCCATGTCAGTCATCTTGCCCCTCTCCCTCCCAATCACCTCCCATCCTCACCCGGCATTGTCAAGTGCTTCGAGACGTCCTCCCGACATACAGCCTGCTGACTATCACTCTCTCTGTCAATCTCCCGTGTTTTGGGGAGAAAAACATTTGGAAGGAGGAACTGGGAAACCCGAATTAGTAATTTAAGGGGACACCAGTGCCGCAACCCAACCTATTTTATCTCACAAGCGCACAAAGTGGAAACTTGCCGTGTGAGATACCATTTGGCTTTGGTGTAGTCAATGAGTGACAGCTCTTCAGCCTCTAATGCATTTGCCAAGCACTTTCTTTTTCTTTTTTTTGGCAGACAATGCTCTTTCCCCACGCCCCCCCACCCCACACCCCTGTCAAATCTGTTTAAAAAAGTAAGAATAAATTGGTCACTTCAATCCACAACTGTTTGTGGGGACGCTGCTGTGCGCAATTGGCTGCCGCGTTTTGCCCACAAAATATACAGTCAGTTCATTTTACAGTGAATTCTGTGAAGTGCTTTGAGACATCTCGAAGATGTGATAAGGCACTATAAAAAAATGCAGGGATTTTTAAGACGGAGGCTCCCCTTTAACTTTCCTCTTCTTTCCCTCTTCCACTCCAAAAAAACCCAAGAGAACACCCACAAACTCTAATCTCTGCAGGCTGGGGGTGGGGCTGGTGGGTGTAAGTGAGCGAGGCTTGTTCAGGTAACCTTTGCTCAGTTGCTGCCTGTCTGTCACCACATCCTCCCCAGAAGCTACGGCCGTTGCACAAGCTAAATCCTGACCTTTTTGGGTAAGTCCTAGAAACCACTGCTCTCTTCGCTGACTCGAACAACACTCTATTACACTGGCTCCTCCTAAAAGTTCCTTTTTAAGTCAGATTCCCCCCTCTGCCCGTTTCCTCTCCCTGTCCCCCCTCATCCCCATCATCCAGGATTCGACTCTCACCTTGATGAGAAGCTCTCGACTCAAGGAGTGGTTGTTGTCATCTGAGAAGATCTCGGACAGCTCTTGGAATATCCGGATGTTTTCCCTGCGCGATTCACAATCCAGAGCAAACACATGTTAAAATATCACCATTTCCAACGTCTCAGGAGACCATCCCATTGCCAGTGGCTCTATGATACCCAAACACAACAACAACAACTTGCATTTATATAGCGCCCCTCATACAGGGTAGAGTCCCAGAACACTTGTCCCTGCTGTGTGAGCAAGGTATTCAGAACCTCACGCTAATGCACATCCGGGGTCCAACCTTCCCATTGAATAGAGTTCAGGAATGGGAATCTGGTCTATTTTACTCCTGCCTAATGCAAGGGAAAAAAGTAGTGGGGGGGGGGATGGAGGGTGGAGCATACTAAAGCCAATTGTAGCCCTTAACCCCAATGGGGTTCCTGTCTGAGTACAGTTAATTCAGCATTCAAACCCATCTGTGCATGCCTCCGTGCTCTGTAAAGTCCAGAGCTGCAGAGAGCAGTAACCATTCCGAAAGCTCGTCGTTAGGAAATTTAACACGGATATTAATCTTGTTTCCCTAACAGCCTGGGGGAACAACGCATTTGGATTCATTCTTCAAACCGGCTGTATCTTAACAAGAGATTTTTTCTAAATAAATCAGCCCAATTAGAAACAATACTCAGCAAGGGGCCTTCCTTATTTTTAACCCACTCGACAGTAAATTGTTGCCAGCTCCTTCCTACCTCGACACTTCATCCCAGCTTCTCCTCAGCCTGTGGACGGAGTTACACTGCAAAGCAGATAGGATGGCTCGCAACGACGAGAAGTTTTTCAGGATTCGGCACTCCTGTGGTGGAGAGAGGAATAGAGGAATTAAGAGATCAAACTGGAACCTTTTAAACTTGCAACAGTAACAGGGAAGTGAACTGAACATAGACAGGGCACTCGTGTGATGTCGTCCAGAGCATTGCATACATTGCTGGTTGTTGTGTTAGTATTCCCCCAGGTCGGCATCAAACACCGCCATTGTTCAGCGCTCCAAGACACTACCCCGTGTGAAAGGTGCAATACAACTTTAAATTGTTGTTATCTTTGCCTCATCAACAGTGATCAAGCCTTCAGCCATTCCTTCCAAAGTCCCTCCCTCAATTCCTCTCTATCCATCTTCAAAAAAACATGCACAGCGCTGTAGTAATACACTATCTTGGGATTGGAGAGAGGACAGTAAAGGACAGCTGGATTGACATCAGGAATTAAGCACTGGAATTACAGGGAGAAGCATGACAAGGAAGTCTGTCTAACAGGCAAAATATACAGTCAATTCACGTTACAGTATATTCTGTGAAGTGCTTTGAGACGTCTCAAAGATGCGATAAGGCGCTATATCAAATGCAAGGATTATAGGTAAGATGTCGCAGACTCAGCTAACTGTTTCCCTCTTAACACAGTTAATGCTGAACCAGAGTTTCAGTGCCTTACCCTGGCCACCTCTATCCACCGCTCGATGATCTTGGCTCTCTGTTGAGGTTTCAGCGTCTTGTCAGACAGGCAGGTTGCGATCACGCAGTTTGTGACACGGTTAAACTGAGTGACGGTGGCGCGGATTGAGGGAGCCAAGTGCTCCTTCCCTTTCTTGTCTCTCTGGGACCAGATGCTCCCGAGACAGTGATATGGAACCACTTTCTTGAACAACTCCTGTGGGGTAGAAGGGGAAGAAAAAATAAAGCTTGGGTCAGTTAGGGGAACATAATTGGAGGTAAAACACAAGCTCTTGAACAAAAAGCAAAGTACTGCACATGCTGAAAATCTGGTATAAACACAGAAGTTGCTGGGAACACACAACAGGTCAGGCAGCATCCACGGAGAGAGGAAAATGAGTCTTAAGCTCTCGAAGCCATTTCCCCGACAAATGTTATGGTCTCCACCCACTTATATGAACTCCTGAGAGAGAGTTCAGTCAGGAATACTGTCCTAGTTCCCAAAGGCTGCTTTGGATTCAACCTCCACCCCGTCTTGTCTAAACATATGAAATTGTTTCATACATTTCTGAAGGGAAGTGGGCGTACTGCAGACTGGAAGCAAGCATTCTGCACCAGCATAAAGTCCTCTGCACAGCATCGAGATGATTGCTTGCAGCAGGCATTGAACCCGTTCAGCGGAAAACTAAGACAACAATAAGCATCACAGTAATGCATTTTGACTGGATTTAGTAATAATAGTTAGTGCATTTTGATAACCGCAGGGGTGGAAGATTTCATATTTTTGTTAAACATTGACTGCTTCCGGGGGTAATAATCCCCTTTAAAAAAAATCACTCATTCCACGACTGTTTGTGGGACACTGCTGTGCACTATTGGCTGCCACATTTCACCCACAAAATGCGCACTCAATCCACTTTACAATATATCCTGTGAAACGCTTTGAGACGTCTCAACGACGTGATAAGGCACTGAGTCAAATGCAAGGATTATTATTATTATTATTTCTCTGCAGACTCACCGCATCCATCAGAGTGAATTGCTCTGCCAGCACACCAGGAAGGAAGGAAAGGAAGTCAGTCTTTCCCTCTTCAAACCCGTTCTCCTCCAACATAGGAAAGGTGCAGCTGCTCTGATCGGCCACTGTAAAGAGACAGGCAGGAGGAATATAAACCCTTTCAATACGTTGCCAGACGTCGTATACCAATCTAGGAGCAGCTCGAATTGCTGTCCATCCAACACGGCAATCCCAAAGGGAAAGAGACTCTACTATCAATTGCTATCACTAGGCGTCTCCACAATTGACCCACTGCCTTAGGGTCCTCACCCCTTTCCTTCTCCTAAAGACGGTGGCTTGTTTTGCAGTGAAGTGGTCACGGGTGTTCACAGCTTCACTGATTGAATGTCAGCGTTCTTCGGATGGGATTCCACACTGCGAATGTGGTGGGTTATTCACAGAGTGTGAACGCGTGGGTGGGTACATGACAAATGAGTCACCAACATCTGCAATTAGATTCGCTACTGGGAAGTGTGTGTGTGTGTGGAGGTCAGGTGAGGACTAGCCTGGTAGCACTCACTGTCAAGCCTCACACATTGGAGAGCCAGCAATGGATTGAACCTAGCAACCAAAAGTGGGTTAGAAGAGTAAATCTAAGAAGTTTAGTTACAAAGTCCTACCTTCCGGGTCCAGCTCAGCTTCGTTATGTGTCTGAAATGCACAGAGCAGGTTGTGGGAGCGGCGCTCAAGGTCTGAGCCTGGAAACATCTGACGGATGTAGGTGGACAGGTGCTTCAAGCAGGAAAAATCTGGTGGTTTTCGGAAATCTTCGGAATACTGATCGAGCCAGGCACCCAGGATTGAGGAGAGGGTGCTGGAGGGGATAAAGAGGGAAAGGGTTAGGAAACAGCCTGCTTCAAATGAGAGGCTTGGCTATTGGGGAACGCATTCCCGGTCAGGCCAGCACAAAACCCAAGTGAAACATCCAGTAGTTATAAGGACATCCCCCCACTCCATTCCTCTCTACCCGCACTTCCTCTTCATCATCATCCTCACTGACTCTGCCCCCCTCCCTCCACACACTCTGCCCCAGATGAAAGTTCATGTTGCAGTTTTGCTTCCTCCCCTCTAAAGTCAATATAACAAAACTTCAGAGCGCACCATAGGGCCCACAGTTTATATCCAGGGTCAGATTACTTTAAGAATGGTGTGGTTTCCCCTTCAGTTCTATTCACTTTTCAGCCCTCCCACCCCCACATGTTTTGGATAGAGATTAGCTGCCACCACAGTAAACCAGTGTTTCAGCATTCTGAGCTTCTTGACACTAGGATTCAGCCATTCTTACTTCTTTATTTCTATTCTGTCTTCTGACGTGAGCTTTGACAAGTCTCCATTCAAGTGATGTAGGTTTCCATACCTAGAAGATACAATACAATACCATATTACATTTATATAGTGCCTTTCACGTCAAGAGGACGTCCCAAGCCACCTTAAGATGACAGAGGAAGGTCAACACAAGGAACAGAGCTGTGCTGTCATCTTAACAGGAGCCTTTTTTTTTACATTGATGCTAAAGTGAAGCAAATGTTTAACTGGGTGGGTTTACGCAATTAGTAGCGCTCTTGCCAGTGGAGCAGAGGGGATGAGGGACAATTTACACCGTGGAATCAAGAGGTGAAAGGCCAGAAATCAACCCACCTCATCACCAAGGCCCCTTTGCTTTTCAGTTCTACCCCTCACCCCTCTCATTCCAGCCCCATAGCCAGACTACACTCAAACCAGCCCGTGGCCATTGCCAGCTTGCCCACACAGCACGGTTACCTGTTGAGCAGCAGGTCCAACACTTGTTTGGTTGTCGCGAAAGCCCGGTACGTGCAGAGGAAGATGGTGACGTAGGTGGAATCGTTGCCTTTAAACGCCGACACCAGGTACTCCACGAGTTTCTCCAGAGTCCCAGCTTTGATGGTCCGCACCTTGCAGGTTTCATACAGGCTCATCGCAGATTCACTCTCGACCTGCACAAGGGGAGAGAGAACTGGTCAGCCAGCAGCAGCTACAGGCACTTCAAAACCAAGCACAGTGCATTCCCTTCAATATAAGGAGGGATGGGCTGGATGGTCCCTGAGAGAGGAGGCAGGCTGGTTGGTCATTATACATCCAACATGGGATAGAGTGCGAGAGAGAGAGAGAGAGAGAGAGAGGAAGAGATATCTTGCTATACACTCCCACATATTGATCACAGAGAAAGACGATCATTGAGAGACGAGATTTCCAGGGAACATCCCAACGGAGGTTAGAATAATAACTATAATCCTTGCATTTGATATAGTGTTTGATCACGGCTGAGAGACTTCTCAAAGTGCTTCACAGAATAGACTGTAAAGTGAATTGACTGTATATTTCGTGGGCGAAATGGTTATGGTGGTGGTGGGAAGGGAGGACAAATATGAATCACCGGAACCCGGGAAGGAATTTTTCATTAGTAATCATTCTCCCTGGGAGAGATGTCACCACCGTCAAGTCCTATTTAACATCAGTGAGTTTTTGCCCACCGCTCAGTTGGAAACGCACGCTACATTGCCTTCTGTTCCAAGACGTGATCATCAGATGTCAAGTGAAGCAAACCACGGTCTGTGCTGGATTCCCTGTGCATTCTACGTGCACCAAGCTGCAGAACGCTGTCAATGAACAGGCCTGACAGGGGGAACAGTGAGGGGGTGGGTGGGGGTGTAGGTCGTCATCTGGCTTAAAGGAACATCCACTGTGGTAAAACACTCCACTGGTTGATTTGACCTGCAATTTTGACATGCAATCACTTAGCTGTCCCTTCTCTCTTCTCCACAACCCCCCCTGCTGTTGCCGATTATCAACTAATTTGACTACAGTTTGTTCAGCTGTATAATCAGCACATCACACATGACGCATTCCATCCCACAGTCTTTTATTTCAAGGTTTTATTGGAAACCTTTTATTTGCACCAGACGAAGGGTACGCCTTGCCATCACACTGCAATGTGTCAGCACCATTATAAAAATATGCAGAGGATCACCCAATGGTAGCAAGCACAATATATGGTCACTGCACACTTATCCCTCTCCAGGTCTCAACCAGTGGCTGCTTAAACCTCAGCAGCCGAGTTCCCACTCCCTCTGCATCTCTCCCCCCACACTCCCATCCCCTCTGCCCGGCCACCAGCTGCCATTTACTGCACAGAAACAGGCCATTTGACCCATGTTGGGTTTGTCCTGGTCCTAGCTACATCACCGGCTTAACCTGCTCTTTCCATTACCCACACCGTTCAATATATTCTTTTTCCACTCAATAATGCGTATTCACTTCCCCTTTAAATACAGTCAATAAATTGCTTTCAAATCGTGCCAAATGATTGCACATTCTAACCCAACACCCCTCAGTCAGCGGAAGGATAACGTTTCCTTCTGGTGATTTTCCTCTCAAGTGATACCCTTCTGTTACTGACGACTGGAAATAGCCTTCCTGTCAAACCAAGCATCATTTTGAGCATTTCTAGGAGGTTCAGCCTTCCCCCAATCTTCTCTGCTCCAGGGAAAAAACAGTCAACATTTCATTTCAGTCTCATTTAAAGTCTCCCCATGTCACTGCTAAAAGCCAAGCTGCTGAATCAGCAGAAACTAACAGGCCAGTTCATTCAGTCTCCTCACCCCTGCATGTAACACTCAGGCTATTTGTGTGCAACATTAAGACTAACCTGCCTGGCTTTCCCATGTAAAGCTTACACTCGCCTCCTTCCTCTCCTGTTTATAATTCATGAAGCACTGAAGCTGAAAATGAGAATTAACCAGGGAGAGCTCGCCCTAGTGGGAGCGCTTTATTCCACTCCGCCAACAATAGAGAGCTAAGCTACACAACAGGATCAGTTTCTGGACTCAGGGCAAAGAGCTGCCAGTCACAGGACCTTGGCTCCCTCAGTGTATGAGCAACCTCATACACTAACAGAACTTTCACCTATAAAATACACAGTGAATCCACTCTACGCTATATCCTGTGAAGCTCTTTGAGACAGCTCAATGATGTGTTATATTACAACAGAGCCAGAGCACCGTGTATACGAAAGAAAAAGGAACAGAAGGGCACGGGGGAGGCTCAAGTGGAGTATAGCACACACTAGTTGGGCTAAATGGCCTGTTTCCGTGCTACAGATTCATTGTAAACCTATGAAGTGGGTGGTGGGACACTGGATGGGTCGCTGTAAAGTGAGATGAGTGGCGTGTCCATGCACAACATTATAGTCCTGGCAAGTCACTTTACCCGACTGCCAGAATATCGTGCAGCACCCTTCATTGCCAGAGACAAGCGGTGTTGGCACAATGTCCCTGGGATAAATTCAGCTGCTTTTCGTGACGGGATGGAATGACAGAGCGGCTTTGCATCGCTTACAGAGAAAATCGGGGCCAAGCAGGGAGCTGTTCAGGAGTACAATTGCACTCCGACTGCTCGCCATCCAAAGGTTACAAGAGTCCTTAGTTACCAGGTAAACAGTGTCTCCCAACAACATGGGTGAAATGGCAACTGGGCAGATTACCAGGAAATGATGTGGTTGTTTGTTTAGACTTTATCCAGTTAAATGAAAATGATTCACCAGCCTCTATTGTTCCCTCGCAAATCGTGCTGGGATACAATTACACAGACACGCCTTCAGCACATCACCTCAGTCGTCACTCTTAACGTACATGGCTGGACAGTGAGGATTCAGTCGTGGGAGGGTGGGTGGGGATGGGGGGGCACGGTAAACACAGATACTGTCCTGAATTGAGGTCCAAACAAGTGCATTCTCCAGCCTGGAGTCTCAGTCTCAAAAAATATGCAGTGATTAATATACAATCAATTCACATTACAGTATATTCTGCGAAGCGCATTGAGATGTATCGACGACTTGATAAGGTGCTGTAGGAAATGCAAGGATTTATTATTGTCATTATTATTATCATCATTATCCTCTCTTCTCACACTAGCCAGGGTGACGATCGAGAAGAAATGTAGCCCAGATTGGCATCCGGGGTGAGATTAGTTCAACGGAGGGTGATAATGGGGTGCGGCAAGGTGGGGAGTGGTGATGCATTCAGGGTTTGGCGGACAGTGATACGAGAGGACGACTTTTCAGGCCAGAAATGCAACGCGATCCACAAGGAGCCCCTACCCCAAGCCATCGCTGTCCTTTGTTTGCTGCCTGATGCACCTGGACTTTTCTGAGTGTTATGGTGTAGATGGCTCCCTCCTCCGCCTCCTCCCCGATGTCCTGTGCAGCGCTCTGAAACAGGAACAACAGGTAAATGGTACGCACACACTCGCACACCAGAAAAACCAGTCAAGATAAGATCCAGCCTGCAATCATCGGACCACAGAATGTTACTGTGCAGGCACTGAGCATCGGGTCACACGTTTGCACAGCCCCTATTTTGGTGAATTCCAGCCTCAAATTCTCCTGCTTGCCTTCTCCAAGCAGCCTCCCCACCCCATCCCCATCCCCCCACACCCCACCCCACTCGGGCTCTCCAACTCGCTGGACTGCATTTAGCTCCGACGTGAGAATTCCGATGTGATGAACCAACAGTTTCACGGACCAAGTCGCCGAGAGTCCGAATCTCACATTGGCATTATTCCGTTTCAGTTCAAAGGGAGGTTACTGAAGTCAGAAGCCTCAATAGCAAAAGGGGAATAAAAAAAAGACACAATTCTCCCACAATATATACAGTCACTTCCACTTTGCAGTAATACTCTGTGAAGCGTGTGTGGGGGAAGAGGAAAAGAGGTGAGGAGAGAGATGTTCTAAAAGGTTTTCTGATGCGTTTTACAAAACAACACCGTGTTACCCCTTGCTCTCCTGGAGGCATCGATTTACGTTGGGGTACACGTGATCGGCTTCAGTCGCCTTCTTATGCCTTGTCCCAAGTTGCTGTTCTTCATGTGAAATCTTTGTCACTGACAAGATGATGTGCCCATGGAGATTACACCTGTGGCCAATTGTAGGGCTTTACTGCCACCCTGGCTGAGATCACCTAAACTCAGCACCCACTTGTTCTGTTTGGGTCAGTCCCACATGAAGCAGAAGCTTCATCTACACAACTGTCAACCTCGACAACAGCAACAAATTGTATTTATATACCGCCTTTCACGTAGGGCGGACGTCCGAAGGGGCTGGAAAAGAGGGGAAGGGGTTTGGATCAGCCGGCAGGTGGCATCCATTATTTAGACACTCAGAAACCTACCCATCGTAAGAGAAGCTGGTTGGTCGCGGTTACAACAGTTTACGAGATTCCAACAATAGGCCGAAAACGAATGATACAGCATTAAAAAAAATTCCAAACTGCACAAAAAAAATCCCTTTTTTCACCACCACCACCAATATCACCAAAATAACGAGTTATTTTTAGATTCGGGTTTCATCACTTTCCCACTTCTCCTTTCCTGTTACTGACTAGATTTGTTCCGATTTGGCCTGTTTTCGTGGGGTTTCCTGTATTGCGTTACCGTGACATGTGAGCTTGAACATCGTTGATTCCTCCTGGTATAATGCGGCTGAGTCATTAAAGCATTTTATGAATTAGACTTTCCCTTTCTACCCTTCCCCGCCCCCCAAGTGAAGAAAATTCCCTCCAACCGCTTCCCTTATTTTTCTGCTTTTCAAAAAAAATCCCATTCAGAGATGATGTCCTTTGTCATCGATTCCCCAAATAATTTATTCCATCAGCCTGGCCAGATATCTTTCAATCCTCTATAATTTCCCTCCTTAATCTTCTCTGCTCCAGTGAAAAAGGGCCCCAATTTAGGCAGGTTCACCATTTGTAGATTGCTTCATTTACCCAGTATGAGAACAATGCATCCCAATGGAGCTAATCATCTTCCTGTGCATCATTAACAGGGCTCCCTCAGATCTGCATGCAATACTCCTGGCTATGTATCAAATCCCTAGACATCCTGCACTAATGGGCTATTTGACATTGGCAAGTCAATCTTCATTAGTCACCAACAGGCCGTTCTAGACTCTGTCCATTAATAACTGCTCTCCGTTTCCCAGTTGCCCAGACAATTGCTGTCCACTCTGTCAATACTGCACTGCGCACTGGAAAGAAGGGTTTCCTCCCTCCTATTAACCTTTCCTGGCATCTTGAGCTTAGAGTCATTGCCCCACATATATGTCCATCCGCAGGCAAGGGAGGCATTTTGGGGGATGAAGTGGAGCTGCGGTGCTATAGGGGTTAACGTGTGCTGATGTGTAGATCTTCTAGGGGTTAACATGGAAATGTGGTCTTCTAGCGGCTAACATGGTCTGAAGTGAAGGTACAGTTCTCTAGGGGTTAACATGGACTGCATATTCTCTGAACAGCCTTTCAAAGGGCTAAAGGGAACTGAATGAGTGCCAGGAAACTAGGTCAGAGTCTGACCCAAAGACTGTAAAGCTTCTAAGCAACAGTATATTACACTTGTCACAAAGACCTTTCCTCTCCCCCTCCCCCCATAATCACGTGCTTATCCACCCACACACATACACACGCACACAGAAACCTTCCTCTATAACATTCCCTTGCAGTCATTTGTACAATGTTCTGTTTGGAGAAGCAGGTGGCAGATAGTGTGCAACAGAGGTGCTTCCTGAACCTTTCTGCACATACGAATAAAAGGCTTCCCTTTTCAAAGCAGCCTTTATTGTTGTGTGTTGAAGGTGAGTGTCAGCAGGGGAAATCACAGCCGAAGCTGACCTTACTCAATCTTCACACACGCGCACACACACACACACAGCCCAAGGAGGTCTCTGGATAGAGATTAGGAGCTGGGAACTCAAGCTGATTTCCTCCTCTCCAACTTGGGGCACTCTGGGGAAATGTAACTGAGTGTAGATCTGGCTGACTCAGCACACTCCCTCCAGGGATTGAAACTGGGAGCTTGAAGGTCTGTACGGCTCACGCACGGGATCATCTTTATTGCAGATCACAATTTACTGGTGTAGCTTTGAGACCAGGGCGCTGGAATCATTCAAGAAATAGCTTGACGCTGTAATGGGAAGACAGTAGGGCGGGTATTCTGGAAGGAGGAGATTATATTAGCCAAGATTATATTTCCCATCTAAATCTCTCTCGTGATTGTTTGACTTCGATGAGCACAGAGAAGAAAATTGATACACCCAAACCATTGGAAAAATATGTCCCGAGGAAGGTAGAAAACATACTGAGGGACAAACCTGCTATAGCGGCCTAGACAACAAGAACAACATTTGTATAGAAGGATAGAAAACTTTCTCGTAACATCTCTCACAAGGAACAGGGTCCTGATCAGAACATGTTTCAATACATACATGAAAGCAATTGTATTCCTTTTAAAATTGGAACGAGTGCAGCCCGAGGCAGGGCTTCTTGCTTCATGTTATTTTTACAGCCTGTCTGACCAGTCGGTGTTCAGTCACCAAAAGAAGTCAGCCGGAGGACTGACTTCATCAGGTACCCACAAGATATGAGGGTTATCCAGTACCCCAGAGACTGCTTAGAGAAGATCATTGAGAACAATCCCCAGTGTTAAGAGGGAATGAGCTGCGAAAAATATACATCCTAGAGGGATTGTTATACAGCAATATAAGGTGCTTAATGAGATTTGAGAAAGTAAACCTCAAACAATACTTTCAGATATGCCAAGGCAGCAAGACAAGAGGTCAGGGTTCCAAAGGACAGAATAAGAAGTACTACTTTTTAACACAGATGATAACGAGTAGCAGAAACTGTTTAGCAGAATGGGTAAAAGAGTCAGGATGTTGATCTCATTTAAGAAAACAGCTCGATGCTGTACTAGGGAGACAGTAGGATGGGTATTATGGAAGTACGAGTTCAAATGGGTCAAGGGCCTTCTTCATCTGAACCACTTGTGTGTTCTAATGAGAGCTAAAACAGTCATGCAACCTTCACCCGGAACTGCTGCATTTAGAAAGTGTCATCTCATCTCAGATTAAATTACCTTGTGTTAATCAGATCAGTATACACTTCCTTGAAGCTCCAGTTAGTAAGAGCTTCTGGCAAGTGTGAGACAGATGTGGAGAGATCCCAGGTTCAATTTCACATCTGTGCTGAGAGAGCTGATCTCAGCTGAGGGAGCAGTGGGAAGATTGCAATTGGCCTCAGTGATTCTGGGCCGCAAAAGGTTTTGCTTGCAAAGGTAAGAGAATAAGCAACCACAATCAAATGACGGTGACACTTTCACTTATGAAACGCAGTTAGGTTCGGTGGTAACACAAATTCTTCTCCTTTGAGATGTTGGCCTGACTTTTGTCATTGCCAGCACAACAAGCTCCATAGGTCATTAAGGGCATCCCTAATGAATGGCAGCTCTGTGTCAATGGCGGATGCACAAAAGGTCTATTAATATACACTATGCTGTGGAATCATCCCCTCTTCTCCATCAGTACAGATTCAGATGGTTTCATTCATAGTGGTCATTGGGCAATTGTTGCCTTGTACAATGGATGGATGTATAAGAGCAGCTTTCTGAATGCATTTGCTCAATGGTGTATTATTAGGCAACTCTACTCAGTGCAACTAAACAGGCCTGGGCTTTCAATGGAGAACAGAGGCGCCGAAAAGAAATAGAGGCACGCTGCAGTTTTCAACACTCACTTTATCAGAAAGACGCAGGCTGGTGTCAATGAGATACAGTGGCTGGGTCAGCCTGTATCACGTGCAAATGTGCCAAACAGAGGAGAGCTTCTCTCTCAAATCCCAGTCAGTTTTGTCGCTAAAATTCCTTTAGCGTTAGGGAACAGCGGACCCTTCCTTTTCCAAGGATTCTAGGGTCAAAGCTGCAGAGATGTCAAATCTCCTTGTTCTCTCACTTAGCCACCTGCACCCAGTGGATCCACCAACTACTTGGAAACATTAACAGTGAGTGGGAGGGCAGGTCTGTCCCATTTACTCCTCTTGCTACCTCTCCCGAGCCATGGAGCACACTGAACCACGCTGCTAACTCTACTCCCATCTGCCATGACTCACCAAGCATCAACTTCCCCTCATATTCAGTGTTCTCCTGGCTTTCTCTGCTCAGTCACACTTATGCTGGATATGAGTCAATGCTTCCTGAGTCATGAGCTGGCTTTTCAAGATGTTTAACATAGAGACACGTCACATAGAGACAGGCTATTTGGCTCAACTAGTCCTTGCTGGGTTCATACTCCACACAAGCTCCCGCCTCTCCCCTCACCGATACCCCTCCATTCCCAGTATAAACCAACACGTTCTTGATCTCGCCTGTGTGGTGGTTACGTGGGGATCT